GAGCATAAGTTGCCAGACCTTCAGTGGATTCTTACTTCGTCAGCACACTCGGTGGTCCATGTGAGCAGCATTAGAGTCAAAGATTATCCCATTTACAGCACAAGGGTTTTTTCGTGCTGTGGTGTAATAATACACAATTCATAGGTCATAGGTGTGCCTATATCGTGGTTTTTACAAGGCCAATCAGATTTTAGGACTAACTAAAGGGCCTGTATCATGAAAAATTACCTTTTTCTTTCTTCTTTGAAATAAAAGAGCTTGATGTGGTGTGTAAAAAATTCATACTCAGTCTACAGTCCATACATGGAACTATGCTGAAAAAACAGCCTGTTATGCTTTCATTGTTGTGATGTCATAAAAACCAACACATTTATGTATATCTGCCCATTCAGGCTACTGCTATAAGAAGTGTTTTAGCCTGGATTGTTCTGTGAATGAGGCACCATACAGGACAGCCAATCAGAACAGAGGTTATTTACATGTATTGGTCTTAAAGGCACAGTAACAAAAACAGAAATAGCCTAATTTTGAGGCATAAAGAAAGGGTGGAAAGTGAATTATGACTTTTTATGCCACATAAAACCACACAAACATTAGAAGTGGACATCAGGGGGAAAATTATAACTTGTAGAATATGATCTGTGTTGGAATTTGGAAATTAATTCTAATGTTATTTATTTACGGGGTTAATGAAATGAGAAGATGGTAGATGATTCAAATGTGTTGTTGGAAATAAAATGCATTACATAAATATTTTATTTGTTTGCAATCCCTTGACACATTTGAATCATGAAGCATTTTTTTCAATGTAACTGTTAACCCCTTACATGGTTGGGACCTAGTGACAGGCCCAAGTAGTCTAATCTGTATTTACTGAATAATAAGCCTTGGGATATAATAGGCCTGGGATTTTTTAAAATATAATATAGGCATTACTTTGAACTTTAGAGGAGGAGGAAAAAACATACTTTACTTTATACGTAAGTCAGTGTAACCAGACTTTTTTTTTGGGGGGGGGCTTTTCTTTTGGTCCATTCTTTATGAATGTAAAGCCAATAAGCATTTTCAAATCATGTCAAAAACAAAACAAAAATGGAGATACAAGGTTCTGTTCTGACAGCAGTGATATAGTGTGGCAAGAGGAGAAGGTGAATTTATTTCTTTGGCTGAAGAGCCCCCTTGAGATGAAACCATAATATTACACTATATTGTGTGTGTGTGTGTGTGTGTGTGTGTGTGTGTGTGTGTGTGTGTGTATCATTTGACTATCTGTCAATCATTTTGAAATATCTGACCTAAAAACATCATAGTGATGCCAAAGGGACAGTAGAGGCCTACTTGTATTCCCTGCTGAACTGCTATGCTTGTAGAACAGTAGGCCAACAAACCAAACTGTAATGTCCTGCTTATGGCTCTGTAATTATATGGCATCAGATATCTACAACATAGCAAAAACTTTTTGACTTTTTTTTTATCTACAATGGGTTGCAGTAAAATATGTGCAAAGCTCACCTACATCTGTTCTTTCTTGAGCCTGACTGCCACAGTAAACAACAAGTCCTCGATCACGTCCCTGTGAGGGTCCACAGGCTTTGGCTGGGGAGAGACAGCAGGGATGTGATGAACTCTGCTGTGCTCCTCGCAGCTTGAGTGCCGCTTTTTCAGAGAGATGTGACGGAACCATGCAGCGAGACAACGGCTGGCCAAAAGAGCGCAACCTTGATGGTCAAAATGTGTGAGGAGCTGAGCGTTCATGGAGATTGTTTCATTTTCTGATTGCCTATAGTTCAGGGCTGAATTTACCCTGGCAGAGCTAAATTTGATAATTGGAGAAGCAGGAATAAGTGCAATCTAACGAATACTCATACGTCTGGGTTTCTGGATACACCAGAGGATGGCACTCAAGAACTGTAGAAGAACAGAGATGAGTCAACTCCTCAAATTGCAGCACACATATGTATTACTGACCTGTCCAGCAAAACAGCAAAACCCTTTATTGACATTCTGATGACCTTCCATGCCTGGAAATGGTCAGACTGGAGTGTCTACACCATTTAAAGGACAGTATATATCCAAATGTTTGTAGACACTCCTTCTAAGGTGCACCCGTTGCTGACACAGATGTTCAACTGCATGTTAGTATAATCACCAAATTAAAGCACTGCTGACAGAATGGGACACATTAGCCTAAGGTCAATCATGCCCATGCCAATTGGCTAGGGGGGTATAAAGCCCCCCAGCATTGGACTACAGATAAGTGCACACTCTGGAGTGATGGAGGACCATCCAGTACCTTTGGGATGAGTTGGAATGGTTAGTAATCCAGAACTAACCATCCAAAAAGAGTCCTTGACCTCGCTAGTGCTCTTGTGGCTGAATATAATCAAGTCCTCACAGCAATGTTCCAACATCTAGTGCAAACCCTTCCCAGAAGAGTAGGCTGTTACTGCAGCAACTCTTTATTAATACCACTGATTTCAGAAGAAATGACCAGGTGTTTAAACATAAACTATATGGACAAAAGTACTGGAACATCCCTCCTAATTATTGAGTTCAGGTGTTTCAGTCACACCCATTGCTAACAGGTGGATAAAATCCAGCACACAGCTTTGCAGTCTCAGTAGACAAGCACTGGCAGTAGCATGGGTTGTACTGATGAGCTCAGTGACTGTAAACATGGCACAGTCATAGGATGCCACTTCTGCCACAAGTTAGCTTATGAAATCTCTGTTCTGTTAGATCTGCCCCTGTCAACTGTAAGAAATGGAATGGAAATGGACGCATCTAGGAGCAACAACAGCTTAGGCACAAGGCGGGAGACCATGCAAACTCACAGAGTGAGGCGGCCAAGTGTTGAAGTGCACAGTATCTATCCTCTGTTAAATCACTCACTAAACTCATTAATGCTTCTCTATCTGGCAGTTTGATGGACGTCTATCCTGACTGCGTTGTGCTGACTGTAAAGTTTGGTGGAGGAGGGACAATGCTATGGGGTTGTTTTTCAGGGGTTGTCCTAGACTCCTTAGCTCCAGTGAAGGGAAAGCTTAATGCTTCAGCAGACCAAGACATTTTGGACAACATGCATCTAACTGTGGGAACAGTTTGGGGAAGACCTTTTCCGTTCCAGCATGACTGAGCCCCAGTGCACAAAGCAACGTCCATAAACTTGAATGGCCTGCACAAAGCCCTGACCTCAACTCTACTGAACACCTTTGGGATGAACTAGAACGGAGATTGTGAGCCAGGCCCTCTCGTCCAACATCAGTGTCTAGAACGGATGCTCTTCTGGATGAATGGGCAACAGTTCCCACGGACACTCCAAAATCTTGTAGAAAGTCTTCCAGAAGAGTGGAAGCTCTTACAGCTGAAAAGGGGGGACCAACTCTATATTAATGCCTATGGATTTAGAATTGGATGTCATAAAAGCTCCCATAGATGTAATGTGGTTGCTCCCGTAGCTCCCGTAGGTGTAAACGCATTCATGAAGAGTGCCAACAGTTATCCTTCCTCAGAGAGCCAACTGGAACAACTCAGACAACTTACAGTAAATGCCATTTTCCCATCTCACTGGAAAACCAGCAAAATTCCCCATAGTACATAACTGCTGACAGGCTGCTTATCCGCGCTGTCCAGCTGATTGATCCAGGCCTGTCAACCATCATAAGATACATAAAGCTCTCAAGCATGCTTTTGTCTATCAACAAGTGCACACCACAGATCATCATCAGGGTCAAGAAGAGGGTCAGTGTTGTAATGTAGGCAGTAAGGACGTAAAACCAACCTGCCAATATCTGACAGGGCCACAAAGGAGAGTCAATAAGGAGGAAGGAATGTGGGGAGATTTTGCATTGGAAAATGGGAAGTGGTGTCAGATTGCTTTATATGTGTTCTTCCACCTCAGCCAGCCTAATGAGAGGAGCCTCTTCAGGGGTGCCAATGATTATGATGTATTTTTGGGGGGAAATTCTTTTTTTCTTTCTCCAAGTTAAAATCACTGAAAAATAAGGTTTTTTTTTCCAAGAGTGCCAATAATTCTAGAGGGCACTGAACACTTTAAGATGACCCACAGAAGCGGGTTGAGGGTCTGTAAGCTGTTCAGTGACTGACATCCGACCATGGCAAAAAGAACTGTACTCCTCATATTTGATGAAGAACTGAGTATCTCTCGTCTACGGAGCCCTGCTGGTGACATCCCATATAAATAAAAATAATGCGTGGCCACGACTTAGTAAGGCATGGGAATAATGTATAAACGTCTCTGTCTTTTTATCTGCATCCACTATTCGCGATTTTTTCTCCTTTTTTATTCGCCGCGCACTACTTTAGTCAGGTTTCTGACAAATAAATCGCTCGTGTTGGGGCGCGTGACAGCGTTGCGCGGCGGGCTCTCGAGCGGCTCGAACCAAAAAAAAGAAAAAAAAAGAAAAAAAAAGCCACAAAGCCGCGCGCGCATTTGGCGCGGTGAGCGCGTGCTTCTTTGTACATGAGCAACAACACCGGCGCGCACCAAAGCCGCTCCACCGCTCCTACGGTCGTCCGCGTGCTCGCGCAGACCAGGACACGCGCAGTCCCGCCACGAGCCGGAGCGTACGTTGGCCGGGGCGCGAGCGCACGGCGCCGGGGGGAGCGGGGAGGGGAGGGGAGAGGAGGGGGGCGATGGGAGCTGACCGGAATACTGATACTGACACAATCCGCAAGCAGCACCTCCGCGTGCGCATCATCATCCTCATCTTCAGCAGCCGCAGCGGGGGAACCGGCAGCACCGTAGCAGCGCGTTTCGCGCCGCTTTCCCCGCACGGCGTCTCGCGCTCTTTCGCGCGCTTATGCGGGCCGCATCGTCGCGCATGCGCGGCGGCGTGGCTGAAACCGCGGCGGACTAAGTTTCTTGCTCCAGGCTTTTTATTCCTCCCTCTCTCTCTCTCTCTCTCTCTCTCTCTCTCTCTCTCTCTTCTTTTTCTCTCTTATTGTGAGTGTCTCTTTCGCTCTGCGCGCGCGTGGCGGGAGCGATGCGGGCGAGCGGAGACCGGTGGCGCGCGGGGGTCGCGTGCCTCCCGGTGTTGATGGCTTTGGCGCTCGGCCGCAGCCCGGTGGCGCACAGGTAAGGCGCGCCGCGCGGCTCACGCATCTGTCCGCACGCGCTGTGCCAGCACTCCGCCTGCTACAACACTCTCCTCTCTCCTCTCTCCTCTTCTCCAGCGGGAACGAGCCCAGCAACATGTCGTATGTGAAAGTCACGGTGGACAAACTGCTCAAAGGCTACGACATCCGGCTCAGGCCCGATTTTGGAGGTAATGTTGGGCTAAAGCACGCAGGGGTGATAAGGATGAGGGTGAGGATGATGATGCATGTTATCGATGTGGTGGATGGATCGTGTGTGTGTGTGTGTGTGTGTGTGTGTGTGTGTGTGTCCTGAAGCTGTGTCTCTGTCTCTTCGCAGGTCCTCCGGTGGATGTGGGGATGAGTATCGACATCTCCAGCATCGACATGGTGTCCGAAGTGAACATGGTGAGTAACGGGATTTATTGTTTTTAGTTTTGTGTATGAATGGAATGTGCATGCTGGCAGCTGTAGCAGTGCTGCTCATAATCCACAGTGTTAAATGAACACCTACAGGTGCAGTGATCACTGGACTGATAGATCTGCAGTGTTTCAAAACTTACTGCACCTCCTCTCAAGTTCATTCACACACGCTGCAGACTGTGATGCACTGAACGAACTTGATTCAAACCTGTACATAATTTAAAATATGCCACATCAACATTTCATTTTTTTTCAATTCAGGCAATAACTTGATGTAATATGTTTTGTTCATGTGGAAATCATGAATTCATGTGAATAAAGTAAATTCAACCTTTTCAGTTTCTCAAAAAGAGCCTTCACATGGTCTATGGCCAATGGCGATATATATGTATGCATTTATAAAATGTAAAAATTAAGACTAAATCATAATAAAAGTCAGTCATTTTTTATAATAGCCCATTGTAACCTAAATGTTCTGCAAGAAATATGTAATCAAATATTGGTTTTAAATATCAAATCTAAACATCTGTCCAATGCAGACACAATTTTTTAAACATGATATAATCATGCATCCCTATCTATGACTTAATCTTTTTTGATATTTTGTGCTTTTAATACATTATGATTTTGTTATGGTTTTCAGTGTAAAAGTACACTGACGAAAGTGATGCACAGAATTTACTTGATTCAAATGTACACTATATGGCCAAAAGTTTGCATGACATCTGACCATCACACCTATATGAGCTTGTTGGACATCCCATGCCAAAACCATGGGCATTAATATGGAGTTGCCCCCTCTCTCCTTTGCGGCTATAACAACTTCCACTCCTCTGGGAAGACTTTCCACAAGATTTTGGAGTATGTCTGTGGGAATTTGTGTCCATTCGTTCAAAAGAACATTTGTGAGGTCAGGCACTGATGTTAGACAACAAAGCCTGGCTCACAATCAGTGTTTCAAATCATCCCAAAGGTGTTCAGTAGAGTTGAGGTCAGGACTCTGTGCAGGCCACTGGAGTGGAGTGGACAGTGGAGGGGCAGTGTCGTGCTCGGACAGGGAATGGCTACCCAGGGAAGGGCTACCACTTATACCACTCTAGCTGTCGCTTGGTGTTGTGATTTTTGCACTCTATGTGCTTCAGCAATCGATAGCCCTGCTTTATGGTCTTCTGTTTCATGGCTGAGCTGTTGTTGCACTTACAGTTGACTGGGGCAGATCTGGCAAGGCAGAAATATTAAGAACTGACTTGGGGCAGAGGTGGTGTCCCATGACAGAGCCATGTTTAAAGTCACTGAGCTTTTCAGTAGGACTCATTCCACAGCAAGTGTTTGTCTATGGAGATTGCATGGCTATGTGCTTGATTTTGTACATATGTTAGCAATGGGTGCAGCTGAAACACTTTCAATTATCAGGAGTGGTGTCCACTTACTTTTTCATGTTTGATCAGTGCATTATTTTTTTTTCAGTATAGCCTAACACTTAGTCTTTGTGTGTTGCCAATTATACTCCAAAATAAACACACACACACACACACACACACACAGAGGCAGTCAGTATTAATAGATACACTGTAAAAATGGAACAGGGCAGAAGCAGATTTGAAGTGTTTTGACATTTGAACTGATGACAAAATATTGCTTTTGTTCATCTTATTTTGCTTTGCATTGGTACATTTAAAGTGTTTATTTGAGCTGAATAAAAACAGTTAAATTGTTGAACTTACAAACTATTTACAGTGTAAGAGATAATACAGTGTAAGGCAGCTATGTCAATGAAGACTTGTTAAAGAGTGCTTCATGATAATGATAATGATGAAGATGATGGTGATGCTGATTGTGATGGTTTTGGTTCATGATGCTTTGGGACCTATAGTGGTGAGGGGCTGTGTCGTACCTGCTGTTAATATTGTGATTTCCATAATGACTCCACTAACCACATAAATACAGTAGCTATGTTTGATTTCACTTCTGTAATGTCTAATCTTTCCTCTGATTATCTCACCAACCAGCTCCAAAAACACTACAGCATGTGGCACACACTTCTGATTTGACAGTCACATTTTCTGTATTTGTCCTTTGTAACTTTGTACTTTGTAACTGTTTGTTGCAATATAACTGGCATGTCTCACACTTGTCAAGGATTGTGTTTTGTTGCATAAAATGCATAAAACCCCTTCATCATCCTAATATATAAATGACAAACCATCTAAAAGAGCTGGCATTAATAATAAACCTCAGTGATAACAGATGCAATGATGCTAGCAATAATATCCAGAACACTATGCTACACCATGGCCATGAGGAAAGTTGTTTTGTCCCATTGTTGACTTGTTTATGGTTAAGATTATTTTAAAGGTTTTCTTGATCTTGGTGTTGAATAGACTTTAATTAGTGATTATCTCCTCTGACACTGCAGTGCTGCGTGTGGGACTCTGATTTACTCAAGGTCTTGAGCTCAGTTGGCCACAGGTGAACTTTTGTTCTGACAAGGTGTCACATTTCCCATGCTGGAAAAAGGCTTTTTTAGTGAATTATGGATAGTGGTCTGAACAAAGCCATTTCCATGACAGGAGGTCATACATTAGTTATTTTAGTGAGTGGATGCAGGCTTTGCAGGCAAGAACCATGAAGATGAAAAAGAAGAGTAGCCATCAGTAGAGGATACAGCAGTGGACCAAGGTTAGACTGTACATGTTTCTAACAGTCCCCATTTGGAAGCCAGAGTGGGCCTGTTGAAATAAAAACAAAGTTCTTTGTGCTTTTTTATGTGGTAATATAATAACTATATATATATATATATCTATAGTTATCATTATTTCATGCTCAATAAACCAAATGATACATATAGTTGTTCCTTTAGAGGACCAGGCAATAACCGAAAAATGCTTTCAATTATAAAGCTAAAAGAAGACACTTAAAGAAGATACACTTTCATCATGATGATGATCAGACATGGCTGTCAGTGATATATCCTCAAGTTGAGAAGATGAGCAGTGGGCAACAAAGGTTATCGGCAGCGTATTTGATTGTATTTTCATGCACTTTAGGAGATTCAATAAGAACACGGTCTGGCATTACAGTTTAATTGGTTTCTGCAAGTCATACATCTACGACAGCAGCAACAAGTACATTGGAAAACATTGAAAGCTAGACATAGTGTGTGCTCACGCATGATCAGATCCAACACACCTGAATCTAAAACATGCAGTGGGCCACCACTGGCTAATGCTAACTGGCTGTTACTTAACAAAGCTGGGCTTTTGGTTAACGCACAACTTTATATTATAGGAGCTTGTTATTGCACCACTCTGCTTCAGTCACAAGAAAGAAAAATAATTTGTTATCGTCAGGCTAAACCTAATTTACAGAACAGTTGCCAAATGTTAGCTAGCCAGATTGGCTAAACCAACAAGCAGCTAATCAGCTGACATTAACATTAGTAAGTCACGATAAATTTGGGATGAAGTTGGTTATAAAAATGACTTAATTAGAACATATTATAAAGTCTGCCTGTTTCCTAGGATATCATTCTGAGAATAAGAACAAAGTGTCATCATCATGGTCCAGTGTTCTGGCTAGCTATCTGTGGGAAATATTAGACAGTGTTGGACACTGTTCTTCTATGGCTGAACTTAAAATGCCAATATATGTTGCTTTTGGTCCTCTGAAATCAGGGGAAAATGTATACAAAGAGCCGCTATCTATATGGATTACCCAATATAGACGCAAACAGGCCTGACATGGCACTCAGTGTTTCATTTCAAATCCACTGTGCTGGGGTACTGAGCCAAAACAACAAAAAATGTGTCACTGTCCTATTACTGTCCAATTATACCACAGCTGGGCAAAATCCTAAGCCTTTTCACATTGCTTAATAACCCTTAGTTGAGTGCAAAGCATTCAGTGTGGCTGATCATGGAGAAAAGTGGACATAGTCTAAGAACAAATGTCATTTTTTTTGAGCCAATAAAGTAATTAGGCTTGACTAAGACAGAAGAACTCAGAGATGTCTAATTAGTGGGGGTGCCTCAGAGGAGAAGAAAAAGCAGTAGTAGTGAGAAATGGGCTTGGAACATCACAAAATGGTTGGAGAAGATGGCAGAGGATTAAGAGTGGGTAGGTGTAATGTGGGTGAGCTATTCTGTTTTAAGTAAAATGATTGTGTAGCCTGCTTTAGATGTACGACTGGTAACCCAGGTGTACATAGAGGTCATCAATCTAACGGAAAGTGTTGCAGTGATGTGCAGGCGGAGAAACAAAGCAAAAATGCTGTCTCTAAAAAACAAATATACAGATTTAAGAAACTTAAGGAAAGGCTGTTTTCAGCTTTGCACTTTTCCTAACATGGCAAGAGAGTGCAGCAAGGTGTTCAGGTTGCTGTGCACTGAGAAAGAGCTGGGTAAAGGGGGAGTTTGTCTTCAGAATGAAGTCAACCTCATTTAACCAAAGTTTATGCTGACCTGCAGCTTTTTCTTTAGAGTCTTGCATTTCCCACTGCATCTTTCATCACTCATCACATCTCTCTCTCTCTCTCTCTCTCTCAAGGTCTGTCAGTTTAACATTTGATATTGACGGATCCTTACTGTACTGTCAGGTTTGCGCACACTGGCTTCTAAGAGACCATTTGAAAAACAGTAATAATACCTTACACTGAAGATCATGATAACTTTAGAATATGTTCCACAGCTGAAAAAGTAGCACTTCTAATGAAAAGGGTGTAAATAATTCTTGTGTAATCTATTGATTGTAGCTTTGAGTTTACAGCCTCATCTCAGTCATCTCTGAACTTACCTCAAAGAATCCAGCTTTGACTTTAATTGTGCACTGCTTGTTCAGTTCCGGTTTACAGGCTCCTCTCACACAGTCTTCTCTGTGCTCACCTCAAAGTCCCCAGCATTGATTGCGTTTGCTTGCCTCAGTTCCCCTCAGTCATCCCTTATTCTCTGCAATACATGAGTTCATGTGAGGTTTTTTTTAAAAAGAGTGAATGCACAGAATGTTTTTGAAGTCGGACTGGAATATGAAACATGGCGTGACGCTGTTTTTTCAGTTCAACTTAGTATTGCATTCAGAGGGCTGCAGTGGAGAAACACTTTGGCCTTCTCCTTCCACAACACAGCTGAACTTCAAGTACCTTGTTTTTGGTGTTCTTTTTCTCCTTCTCTGTCTGCGCGTGCTCTCTGCGTCTCCACGCTCTCACCCACTCTGTACCCATAGCTCTCTAGCCAGCTCACGTTTCTGGAAGATGATTGCAGTGTCTCGAGTGTGATGGGCCTGGAGAAATGAAGTCATGGCAAAGAGCACTGCAGTGCAGAGGCGATAGGTATTTGCATGGTTGCTACCTTGAGTTTGTGTGTGTGTCAGGGTGCTTTGTAAAGAAGTTGAGGTGCTGGAGTGATGATTTTAAACGGTTGTCAGGGGCAACAGCTGCTTCTAATAATAGACTTTGAGGCATTTGTCCTAAGCGAACCTGAGGCACACCCATCCTCCCTCTCTCTTTTTCTCTTTTTCTCACTCACTCTCTCACTCTACATCTCTGTCTCTCACTCTTTGTCTCATTTCTCCTATTATTATAATTTTTTTCTTGCACTTCTTGTTGTCTGTACAGTGCATCTCACATGTCACTCGAAAACATTTCATTTTAATGCTGAACGGAGAACTCACAAGACGTCTAGGACATGCCCACAAACACACCTTAGCATGCACATACAGTGGAACTCCATGTTTACTCTCACGGCATCACATTGAGTATTATTCCAAGTTCATTTATTACGTATTATGCAGTTTGAGTGTTACTCATTGTGATGTCATAATAGCAAACACAGGGTTCTATCATGTCACCTAAACATTGTTCACCCAGTAAGCTTGTTTTATTTCTCACCTCAACACCCCTGTTTACCATTATGACATCACCATGATTGGGCGACAAATAATGGGACCCTATGTTTACTATTATGACCGCAATGATTATGCTACATGAAATAAATACTTTGTCTTATTTCTCTTATTTACTATTAGGACAACACAATGTTCAGGTGACATAAGATGAAACCCCATGTTTACTGGTATGACATCACAACAAGTGTCATTCCAAATGCATGTAGCATGTATTTGGAGTTCTACTCCCTGTGATGTCATAATAGTAAATATGAGGTGCCGTTATATGTCACCTAAAACATTGTTTACCCAATACATTTCTCCCACTTTTATTCATTTTATTCTTGCTCCTGTTATTATCTGTAGGCTGCATCTCACATCTTACTAAAAGGTTTATTTTAAAGCTTAGTGTTTATTTGCTGAATTTAACATATTGGAAAAAAAAAATAAAACATAAAATCTGGCCTGTGCAAGAGTTTTTTTTTCCCCCAGTGTTTTACACTTACCAAATAAATAGAAACTGGGCTCTAACATTTGAAAAAATGCCGAAAATGCCTCTAGAGGGCATGTTAACTTATTTTCACTTAGACAACCAACAAAATATGAAATTTGTCAGGCGTGTTCACATTATCACATATGAATATGCATGATGAGGTCTGTTTGGGTGCATGTCCTGTGAACCCTGTATACACTATTATGACATCACAATGAGTAACATTCCAAATGCTACTCATTGTGATGTCAAAATAGTAGACATGGGATTCCATTACATGTCATCTAAGTATTGTTCACCCAATAAACAAAATTTTTACTTAAGGCTTTTTTGGCAACACACTGCAACAGTGAATTATTTTAGGTGCCCTACATGTCTTGAGATGTGTCCAGAAACCAGAAAGTTTCCAGAAAGTTTGTTTCCCCAAGGCCTGCTCTAAAGTGCTAACATAAGCATCTTCGTAAACTCCAAACCAGCCTGGTCTGTGTGTGTGTGCTCTGTGAGGGGAATCTTAACCAAAGCATTGCAGCACAGATAAGGCGAATGAGGAGCGAGTGCTGGAGCAGTCCTCTCAGGAGGGCAGCAGCAGTCAATTGAAACGTTTCAAGTGCATTTAAAACCACCCCCCCTTGGGCCATGCTGAGAGACCTGCACGGACGATACAAACGATCTCCATGATCTCCATTCATTTTTAATCCTCTGTTTTTTGGAGGGGTGGAATAAAAAGAAGGCTTTCACATGGGTTCATATTGGCAAAGGAGAATGCTACCGCAGTGCAGAGACTGATTATGAGAGAGCTTTTTTTGAACACTGTGAGTGAATCTTAGAGGAGCAGCATTCTGATAAAACAATAGGATTATACATGGATCCATTTCTATTTAGAAACAGGAACACCCTGAAATAGAATAGTCACACTGTGTATTCCATTACAAGGAGGCCTAAGAGAGACACAACTCAAAACAAAAGCAGAAATGTTCTAACTGGACTTTATCTTTATTTAATTTGAATTAAAGTAAACCGTTTCTTTTCAATCTTTTATTTTTACACACAAGACAGCTAGATAAAAAATATGTAGAGAAATTTGATTTGACTGATTGTCTAAATGTAGCTCAAATGTCCTGGGAACAATTAGCACCAGTCCCAATGGGCTTGGCTTTCCCTCTTTCTCTGTGTGTCGCAGCAATTCTCTCACACTATTAAGCAGCAGATGTGGCTACCTGATATAAGAAGGTCTGAACAGACAGGTTCTCTCATTAAGATATAAAATGTCATGAGACAGCTATGAATTAGCATGCCTTCTGATTACAAGTGTAATTGCCTGATAGGCTGTAAAGCACAGGGAAATTTGTATGGAGAATTGACTCGAATACTTCCACAGAATGTAATTTGTGCCAGTGATCTGAGTTACCTGAGCTTCATGTGCACCATTAATCTGACACAGACCTAAAAGGCTCAGGGGAAATGGAAAAAAAGAATTGATTGTAAAATAATCTATTAAAGTGTTGAATAAAAGTAATGTTTTATGCAGTGTAGTGTAGCCATGATGAACTTTTCATTGGAAATAAATGGAAAATTAAGCTTTTGCCTTTGTCGATGAACGCTTAGAGGTAGTGAATTTGAACATGTGGGTTCTGCCCCTGTAATGTGGCCTATAAGAAACTGATGGTGATTTGAGGCATTAGTTAACGATCCTCTCAGTGCTTGTGTGAGTGCCTGTTTTGCCAGCTGAGCCTGTATGTTTTTCCTACCTTAGCATTAATTATGCTAAGTGTGTCAGGTGAGCATGTCTTATTCATGTAAGAACCATACTGATTAGCATCGGGCCTCGAAGCTCTTCTGTTCATACATTCAGTTACTGTCATAGACGTGTCATCCAGAAATTAAATTAACCATACACTGTCAGTGAACTGTTCAGGTACATTTTCGTACATTTTTAATAATTTTTTTGAACTTGTTGTTTTTTCACTTATTTTGATTTGACTTTCCCCTTCCGTATGCAAATAGGTTAATGAATTATCTTGTATACATAAAAATAAATATATATATATATATATATAGTAACTGATTACGTGGCTTTTCTTCAGTTGACTCAACTTGAGGACACCAGAGTTCACCCATCTCAAACTTCTTAGTTAAGTCAAAAATTCTCCCAGCTACTGTTTCTAGGTCTGCATCTCAGTTAGATAAACAAAACTGAATTTGAGTTGGAATGAATTATTAGACAGTTGTACCACATAAGACTACATCATACTTTAAAGTTAAAACAAATATTTTCTCCAGTATATTAAACATTTGTAGACACAAAATCTGAGTTGTTTCATGTGTTCCTGAGTGGTGCAGTGGACTAAGCCGTCTCCCCAACAGGAGGTTGTGAGTTTGAGCCCTAGCAATGTCGTAAATGCGTATCCAAGAGGAAAAATGTCTAGCAGCATTGTGTAATGGAAAGAGTCCTGGCTAGCAGGGAAGCTGAGTATAAAAAACAAATTTGTTTTATTTACCAAACTGAGATGCAGAACTAAAAAATGAAGAGAACTTTTGACTCAACTAAGACGTTTGAGTTGTGTGAACTCCTCAAGTTGAGTCAACTCAAGAAAAGCCATGAAATCAATTATTGTATCATTTTGAGTTGAGCTGACCTCTCATTTTTTACAGTGTTGGTAAACTAGTTAACTAAAGGTGTGTGCATATGTGTGTTACAGGATTACACCATAACCATGTATTTCCAGCAGTCATGGCGCGATAAGCGTCTGTCCTACACAGGGATTCCTCTCAATTTGACGCTGGACAACCGTGTAGCCGATCAGCTTTGGGTGCCGGACACTTACTTCATAAACGACAAGAAATCCTTTGTTCATGGGGTCACTGTGAAAAACCGCATGATTCGCCTGCATCCAGATGGAACCGTGCTCTATGGCCTCAGGTCAGTGTATGCATGTGTGTAGTGAACCTGCACATGTACTGGGTACTATATGTCTCATGGGCATTCATTTTCAGTTGTAAGTATACTTGCCAGTCTCTCTCTTTCTCTCTCTGTCTGTGTGTGTGTGTGTGTGTGTGTGGACTGAGCAGTATTCCCCTGGCTATTCTAATGTTGCTTTTTTGGAGTTTGAAGCCCAGAGAGAAATGAGCGTCCTGAGTGAGTCAGCGCATGTAGCTCCTGTTTACTGATGAAAGATGAGGCTCTCTCTGCCCTACTTAAGTAACCCCTCTCTGAGCTGCACAAATCAGTATCATTCTCTACCCAGACATGTTCTGCAGCCTCACCAACTACCAAATTAACGAGTTTGTGATCAAACAGGTCTGGGAAAAGGGATTGATATGAATCTGGGAAGGGAACTTGGTTTTGTACTTGTTAAAACTGCATCAAAAAATCTAATTGAAGTATTATGTATATAGGGCTGTTTTATAGGTGTATTCTTAATTTTCCTGCTATGAAAACCTGGCAGAACAGCAGTTCACCTGGGCTGACAAAGGTTAAATGTGTGTGGAAATTTTATGACTTAATCTGACTCCAAAATATTGAAAAAATACAATATAGTGTTAAAATAAAGCTGGTTAGGAATGTATAAAAATATTCTTTAAATGATGTTGTCTGTGATCAGTCAATCTTGATGGTTAGGGTACACTCTGTTGTGTGGCCCAGCACGGATTACATTGTTCTTATTTTGGTAGTTTTTGCCTGAGCTAGAGGCACATGACTGGAGGGCACATGACCAGGAATACTAAGAATGACCACTTACCTATTTTTAATGCAGAGAGTTAGGGCCTTAATTGTAGGAGTAGTACAGCAAATGTGCAGGCTGAAATGGTGACCTAAGCACAGGACTTGTTCATGTGTCTGCGCATTTACCCCCTTGCCTTACTCTAGCTTTCCAGCTATTGTGAAACTTTCATACAACATTAGTTCCACTTGTGTTGCATAATGTAAAGAAGGGGGTTTCCAATCCCAGTCCTGGTGACCCCTCTACATACGTGACCCAGACCACAAAGGGCTTGTTAATTACCCTACCCTGCATCAGTTGGAAATGTCTCAACTTTGTGAAACAAGGCTCATCAAACAGACAATCAAAACTCCATTAATGCGCTGAGTAGCATCACGCTGAGTGATGAGGGAGAAGGAGGCCATCCTACCCACCCAGACAGAGCGAGGCCAATTGTGCTGTCTTGGACTCCTGGCCACGGATGGGGATCAAACTTGTGATCTCCTGATGACAGGGCCAGCGCTTAGACGCATAACTGATTTTAATCAACACATCATGGAAAAAAAATACTGGAATGCTTGAAGCTTAATTGCTGACAGATTAGCTTAACTAACTAGTGATCCAGCATTTACACGACATCTGTTTGAATGACTGATTGTGCCAGCAGTTGTGCTTGTGCCAGTGAATGTATTGTGTTCGAATTTGATTATTAGTCTGAGAGTCTCTGGACGGATTTCATGACTCTAATTGATGCCTCCACGATTCCTCGCTTGTATGTCTTCCAGCTCGTGTGGCCCAGGGTGCATGTCATATCTTTGAGTCTTTTCCTTGCATTCTTTCCTTGTGTCTGAGGACATGTGGAAGAGGTACTAGAACATGATGCAATGATGGAGGAATCACACCCAACAGATTTACCAATCGAGACAGCCCTTACTCAGTTATCACTGTCACCTATTACTGGTCTTAGTGGATCTATATTTACCACTTACAACCTAAACTGCTGCTGCTTGCCATGTGTGCCTGATATAAAAGACTACATCAACTAACACAGAAGGATTTGCCTTTTAGGGATGCCCTGTGTACTGTGGGAAGATAAATCAGCAGAGATTTCCTAAATGGACAGATCTTTGGTGATATGCTGTAATGTAGCTCTTTTGTTTACTTCCTCCTGAATATGTGGCACATTTGGACAGATCTGCTGTGCATTTGTCACCCTATATTTTTCTTAGCTTTTTTGGGGCTGCACACTCCCACCCCCTGCCCGCCCCTCTGTGGTTTTCGAATGCCCCACCCATGATTTGGTTCTGGCGCTGGGCTTGTCTGTACAGCTTTTCCTCCCTTCAAAAGGAGGACCCCAGACATAAAGAAAGATGCAAGAAAAGGAAATGAGAACACACAATTAAAGATATAAGATGCACCCTCTGTCTCTAACTGAGTCACAGATATATCGCTGATTCCCACTGTTGGAATGAGCACAGGGGTCACACAGAACAGCAGTAGATGGTGTTTTTTAAATGAAGCATTGCTGTGTCATTGTCTCCATACCCTGCCTCCCACCTAAAGCTAACAACAATAATGGATCTTACAAAAATAGCAGAGGTTCAATCTAATAAAGGTTACAATAACATCGTTATAGAGCAGCAGTGACTGCTGTATATTTATCTGAGCTTGAGTTATGTCTGACGTCAGTTCTCCTCTGTCTTGTAATGTTAGCAGACCTCCTGCAGTTGCACAGCTCCACACCACTGTTTACTTCATTTATGTTTAATGTGGAAGGTTCCTTCATTGCACATATTAAGTGTCCATTCATTTTTTTTGAACCTGTACAATCAATGAATGCTCAGGTTTTAGGTAATTAAGTTTAACAACACTGCAGGGAAACACTGTTGCTTCCTTGGAAGTGGGTGTACGGTATACTGCTGCCACATAGTTATGACTTAAAGGACAGCTTTTTTGTAAAAATATTTGCCCAGATGTTACCAGTCAAAATGTATTTTATCCACGCAATCTTCCCACGCTTTGGGTATATGTGGGAATTTTGGTATTTCTGTAAAAAGTCCACTGAAATATGGAAGCTCCTGACATAATATATGGAATACTTCTATTTAACTGTCCCTCTATCACTTTATCACATATCACATTGATTTCTTCTCTCTCGCAGGTGATGATAAAGTCACCAAGCACTAGTATTTGACCTGAGAATACCAGAATCTAAGCTAAGGTATTAGTGAGCTTGGTAGCTAATATTAATCTTTTCACCATTCACACTCGAAACCCAGACATCATGGGGATACTTTTACCGGTGATGTTTGGGCTTTGCAGCCCTTAAACCGTATTTTACCACAATAACACGTCAATACATGCCTTGAAAATACAGATAAACAGAATGAATAAACAGGTCCTTAATTTCTGTATCATATATAAATATACACTCCAATGACTTCTGTCTCTCATAAAAACTGAAAACACAAACACTAAAGCAAAAAATTCAACTTTAAATTACCATCACAGAAATGTTAAGTTTTGCATCAGCTTCTGTTCACACATAATCTCCCATGCAGTGTACTTGGTTTTGTGCAGACACATTGTGCAGATAAACAGCTTGTGTTACACACTTAACATTTCATTAATTACTGTTACATTTTGGGACAAAAGTGTATGTGTGAAAGAGGCTCTTATTAGCATATGTAAACTGATTTCTTTTATGTTTTCACACTCCCAAGAGAAAATATGCTGGACTCCACATGTTTCTGAATAATTGCGGAAATTTTTGGAGTGACATATTTTAGCTAATCAGCAATTTTAGCAGCAGCTACATGGGTACAGCAAGTCTATAATTAAAATTAGGTTTCAGGTAGAGGTAGGCAATATAGAAATACAGTATCGGGATACGTCAAGAAATCTTCACAATACACAATATGCCGCAATTTTTCACACGCCTGATTAGTTGGAACAGAGAAAAAAACAGTAGTGCTACGTTAAAAAAAAAAATAAATAAACACTATCAAAAACTGTGAATACATTGATTTTTATTCAATATTTGGCATACTATGTTTCACTAAATCCAGTGAAACGTGACTAATTTTGCTCTCTTTATAATGAAATATGCAGCTGGTCAGTGTTCTACAAGTACTGACGATGCTCAGAAAAGCATACTGTATTGTATTGTGACATAATATAATGTATTAACATAATATAATATAATCAAAATATTGGTTTTCATCACAGGGCTACCAACTGGATTAGAAATTATCTCTCCGATAGACACCAAAGTGTGGCCCTGGGACAAAGTAAATCAGAGCTACTACGGATAACGATGGGGGTCCCTCAAGGTTTGATCCTTGGACCATTATTATTTAATCTTTATATTAATGACATTGCCACCTCAATTGTTGATTGCAAAGTACACTTATATGCCAATGACACCATCTAGTACTGCTCGGCTGACTATATTGGTTCTGTAGTGGATAAACTGCAGCATTGTTTTAATGCCCTTTACAATCATAAGCTTTTTACAATCATAAACTAGTCTTAAAAGTTGAAAAAATAAATTTACACTGTTTTCCAGAGCCTCTAACATTGATTTTAGCACTTTTAAAAACACAACCTTGAAGAGATCTGACATTGAAAGAGTTAGTAAATATAAGTACCCTGGCATATGGTTAGATGACAAATGCACTTTTAAACACCATGTTAACAAGCTTACATGTAAATTGAGGCAAAAACATGGCTTCCTGTATCATAACGAAGTATATTTCCCAATGCACACTGGGAAAAAGATCGTTGAAGCAGTGCTATTGCCTGTCCTGGATTGTTGTGTTGTGATATACAGAAATGCATCTGCAACTACTCTAAAATCTCTAGACTCTGTATCCACTCTGCTTTAAAATTCATTACTGGTGACCCTTACAGACCATCACTGTGTACTATATGACAAGGTTGGCTGGTCATCTCTGGCTGTGCGTCGGGAGACAGATTGGCTTCTTTTTATCTATAAAGCGCCTACAGGCCATATTCCCATACTGGAAAAATCTGCTTTGAGCTACAGAGCACCAGTGAGCTGGAATTTATTAGAGGAAACTCTAAAGCTTCGCTCGCTGGTGTCACATGAACATTTTAAACTTTTAGCCTCTAACCACCTCCACTCAGCCTGCAACTGTTTTACTTGATTTTACCTAACTTTTAATATGGTTTTCGTGTGTTTTAGCTATTGTTTCACTTTTTATTATCCTTTTTATTCTTTTCATTTATTTTATTATTGCCAATTTATTGTCTTACATCTTCTATTCCTTTATTTATTTCATTAATAATGTTTTTTTCTTTATTTTATCCTTATCTGATCTGTTATTTGAAGTTACTACACTGATGTAATTTTAATGGCTTATTTATTTATTTATTTATTTATTGCTATTAAATTTTACTAATATGATTATTGTTACTTTTTTAACATTTGATATGTTTTTACTATCCAACTTCTCAATTCCCTGATTTCTGTGTTGGCTCGGGTACGTTGTAAATGAGGTTCTCTCCCTTCATTCTGAGTTTAAATAAAGGTTGATTGATTGATTGGATTTATCACAATAATTGTATATATTGAAATATTGCCCAGCCCAGTTTTAAGGCTGTGAACATGGTTTATAGCAGTTTTGTTCCATATTTCTTTGCCCTTCTCAATTACTTCCCCACTATATATACATCCATATATAACTAGAAGAAAAATGCCCTAAAATATCTGCACTTAGAGACCACACTGCTTGCTCCCTTCAGGTGTCTCTCTGCTCAGGGCAGACTGCGGCCCTTCCTCCCCCTTTCTCTCTTTCGTCATGCATCTGAGGCAGTTCTCTCTCTTTCCCTCTCTTTCTCTCTATCTCTTTCTCTCTGCTGTATAATTTATGTCTAATGCACTATGCTGGGCTGAGAGGTGTGGACACTGTCTGTCTAATGCAGTGCGTTCGGACGTCTAACAGTAGGTGCGTGTGGGTGGTCCTTTGAGTGCTCTGTCTATAATTGTTTGTGATTACTGATTAGATAACTATCTCTCTGGTTCAGAGTAAATCAATACTGGCGAATACGGTGTGTGTGTCTGTGTGATCGGGTGTATGTGTATGTGTGTGTATATGTGTGTGAGAGACTTTCTGCCAGGATGGACTGCTTTACAGCCAAAACCCATCTGTGGCTGGAAGACAGAAAAAGCTGCTCTCTCATAAGTTGTTGAAAAGTGCAGAAGTCACGCACTGAAAGGACACAGCGTTTGTGCTGCAGTGTTAATTAAAGCACACCATAATTAAGATCCAACTTGAGGCGTTTCTGAGTGCGGTGGCAGCCATGACTGAGACAGTGTGAAGGCAATTACCAGGAGAGAGGGAGGGAGGGGCAGAGAGAGAGAGAGAGAGAGGAGAGAGAGAGAGAGAAAGAGAGAGAGTGAGAGAGAGAAAGAGAGATGGAAAGTTAGAGAACGGGCAGAAAGAGTGGAAGAGATTCAGACAGAGATGTGCAGACATGTGAGGTGTGAGTCTACATTTGTAATTCGGTCTGTGTTATGAAGTAAGTGGTATTTGAGGTGGTATTTATGTCATTTGAATGCACAATGTGCACATATTACCCTGTGTTACCACTTCATTAAATGCCACATCAACTCATCAGTGTTATTTGAGGCATAATTACTGCAGTTTTGTTGGTAGAAAACACAGTGCATGTGTGTACTTATATAAGTCTTGTTGAATAATAATATGAATAAGCAGAGGCCTAATTCTGATGTCAGATGATGTCAGATTTCTTGTCCTGTCCTCCACTTTTGTTCAGTAAAGGAAGGATGTTAAGAAGACCATTTTTACATTGTCTGAAAAAAAAATTAAATTTTATTTGTGCTTTTTTTCCTAACTTCTTCTTAAGGTTGGTGTTGCTAAGCTTGAACTGTGATGCAAATTTAGACAAGCAGCTGTTGTCTGCAGAATTATCACTATAAACAATATAATTCTGATCCAAATTCACTTACAAAGTACCACATTTGAGCATTAGAGAGAATTACCCTGATGAATTTATTAATTAAGCTTCTAATATCACTCAATATAAATTCAGAAAACCACTGGATGTTAACAGTGAGTGTGTTTACATGGTTATAGTCCGATAACTGCAGAAAATCAAATTTTGTCAGTAATCCGATCAGTGCATTTACATGCACTTGAGTAATCAGATAATGGGGAAACTCCGGTCTACGTGAGTCCTGTAATCAGATTTCTGCTTTGCAACCAGCCAATAAACTGACAGAAAGGATGTGACGTAAATGTAATGTAAAACTCAAACTTCATGCCGTGTTTTTTTTAAAAAACATCGTGCCATTTTACCTGAAAATATGAACATACATCATCTAGAAGATGAAGAATATTTAAATCCTTTATTTCGTTAAGCATGTAGTTGGTTTCAGCATCACTCCAAAAGTGTTTTGCTGCCATCTTGCAGCAACGCTGCTTACTCCCGATACTGCGGTCTGGTTTTGCACATGCACACACTGAGAAATCTGAAAGAAATCAGAGTAAGAGTTTACATGCACTGGGAAATCTGATTACTGAGCTAAAATCCAGCTCTTTTAATGAGGATTTCTTAATCGGATTTCTAGACCTCACTTCGATCTAAGAAATCGGAGTGTGCTGGTTACATGACCATTTGAATGATCGGATAACTGCAGAAATTGAGCACATGTAAACACACTGTTATTTGTCTTTGTGCAGAAGCTAGTCTACTATCAGGGGTGGTAATACTGCCAGGTTACATCAGCCAGCTCTGTAAGCTAAACTGGTCTGGTGTATAATGGAGGAGATGATTCAGACTGGCAAAATCAAAAAGCTGGCACTGTTCTTCTAGACAACTTCGTCCATTTTTTTTACATTCTACTGGAAAGTAGATGTCATGCACTACAGTTTTTTTTTGCATATTTCCCAGCATTCTATCTCAAACCAAAAGTTTACATTTCAGTCTTTTCATACAGAGTTTAAAGTAGATAGGTGTGTAGTTAGTTAGCTGGTGATGGAAGTGCAGTCTTTTCTTCTGTTCTTTTTTGGACTAACCATTGATTTGAATGTACAAAGGGAATGGCTAAGTAAATAAATGGTTAAATAAACTGTTTTATTTAAAGGATTAATTAAAAGAAAACATGTGGAATGTGAAAGAGTTTAAAAATTATAATATTGGTTATTTAATTTATTACTACATTTGAAAAATATAAATAACTGCCCAAGCTAATACTTATTGATTAAATAAGTATTGAATTCTGATTGCTAACCTCTTGGACTGTTCTTTTCATTTGAACTGAAGACCACTGCATGTTCAGTTTGGAATTGCGTTTTGATGATCTCCTTGTTTTTTGGCTAGGATAACCACAACCGCAGCCTGCATGATGGACCTGCGCAGATACCCTCTGGATGAACAGAACTGCACCCTGGAGATCGAGAGCTGTAAGTGCTGCTTAACTTTCATCAGAAAGCACTCACATCTGTATGACTGTACAGTATACATGACATCTATGCATCATGAGCTTCACCCTAAAATGCTGGTTACAGAACACTGTGAGCTACAAAGACTGACATCATGAAATCCCTTTGGCCTTTTTTAGTTCTCATGTCTCATCACAGTGTTTTCATTACAAACTTAATAATTTAAATCAGTATCATTTATCATGTTAATAATTTCTGTCATTTCATGCAGTAAACAGATTGAACAGTGCAGATTCAAGCATTTTGAGCATTTTGACACTAAAATGTATTTCAGTTGTTTTATTCAGCTTTTTGTTTTGAATGTTCCGTGTTTTTGGGAACATGACAAAGTTATTTGTAAATAATATAGTGTAATGGTATATTTACAGGAATTCTATGACCTGCTTTGTGATTTAATCACCACTGTTAAAATATGAGGCATTCTGGATGTTCATTTTATAATAACTCACTTAGTAATAACTCAGTGTTAGACAGCTTTCTCATTTATTATAGCATCCTCTGCAGCTCTGTTAATCATTCTAGACACATCTAACATCCCTTTGTTTTTTACAGCTTCCAACAAAGTAGCTGAAACGTGAAAAAAGCTATAAAGTAGCATCGTTAACAAAATTGTATCTTCTACAAAAGTGTCTTAATAGGATTGAAACAGTGATTCCAATCCTTTGATCAGCAGTGTATCCCTGCAAAGAATTAACTTAGAGCCAAAACTGTGGTGTATCTTCACGTTTGCCTGCTTTCTATAGTGGCCCCAAAAAGTGTTTGTGCCATACTTACAGGTACACTATGTGTCCAAAAGTGTCCAGACAGCCTTTCTAATGAGTGACTTTAGCCACTTTAAGGTGTGCTTGTTGTTGACACAGGCATTCAGTTGCGAGCATAAATCTTATATTCCATAGAAAAGCATTGCCATTAGAAAGGGATGCACTAGAGCATCCGGATGTGAGTCTAAGATCACCATGCCCGATGCCAAGCATTGACTAGAGGGGTATAAACTGCACAGCTTCACGTTCTCATTCATTGGGCTGTGCTGGAGTGGCATCCATAACTAATGATCCAACATCAGTACCTGACCTCACTAATGCTCTTTTGGCTGAATGCAATCAAATCCTCACGGCAATGTTCCAGTGTTAAGCCTTCCCAGAAGAGAAGAGGCTGTTACTGCAGCAAAGCGGGACAAACTCTTATTAATACCCTTAGTTTCAGAAGAAACAGTGAAAGAGCAGGCGTCTACAAATGTTTGTACATGTAGAGTATATTAAGATCATCGTGTTGGGAAACAAAATGTCAAACCAAGCAGCATTTATTATAAACAGACCATTCCATGACTGTCAGTTTCTTTCTGTCAGTATTCCTTCAAGAGGTGGCTGTTACTGTTGGAGCAGTTTTTTGCAGACTTCTGCAGGTTTGCATCTGAAATGCCTTTGTGCATTTCTGAGGTTACGATCCCATCAAGCTCAGCCACACTAAAACAGCCCCTTTGACTTCCCACCTCTGTGCTTTACAGCAGCCTTACAATGTTAGAAATAAAGGTACTGTGCAGTACATATTTCGTTCATTAAGGTACAAACAATATAAGTGTATCTCAAAGGTACAACAGTGATTTTAATGTCCAATTGTGAACATTAAATACGTTTTTTCCAGGTGAAAAGTACATATTTGTATCTTTTCATAACCTAATGTTTTAAAACAGAGCAATAAAAAGCAAAAAAAAAAGCCTGAAGAGAGTTTTTTGGCAAAATTGTGTTCCCTGACCAAAGGTACTCAGATGTCCCCTTGAGGGTGCCACCCCAGTGACAAGAAGGGTACTGCCCCAGTCACCCCAGTTTTGTTCCCTTTCTTCTGAGAGTGTAGTGCAGAGGGGTTGGAATTCTTCTTCAGGCTTTCTCCACACCAAGAGTCTATCATCAGTTTGATGTTGAGATAAATGTGTTTTTCTGATACAAATGTCAATTTGTTAAACATTTTATGAAGTAACCTAAAGAACTTCATTAATGTTTACCAATGTTTGAACAGTTAAAGTGTCCAAATACTTTTTTGGGATACTTTTTCCTTTTTCTCTTAAATTTCTTTTAAGATTTTTTTAAAAGAATTCATATTTTTTAAAAACCTCTGCTATTGTCTTAGTAAACAGAATCTTTGTTCAGAAATAAAACTAGCAACAGTGTGTAGAATATTGTGCTTCAGTTCTTTTCTTCTTTACACCATTTGCCAGATATGCCAGCTGCACTTGAATTGTGTGAACATTTCATGACAAGTGAAATCCCATTACATTATCATTGTTGAAGTTAATAATTTTTTTTTATTATTATTTTTTCTCCCATGTAGTTACCATGAGGTTATTTAACACTAATGTCAACTTTCAGTAAGCATATGGACATACCAGTCAGTGCTTTTTTACCTGAAGAAATGGAAACACCTATGTTTTTGGTGAAACATTAAAGCAATAAGCCATGAGAAGCTGTGGGTTCATGTGAGTTTATCACAGGAAGGGTTCTTTGGCATGTGGAGAGGCAGAAACACACAGCCTCAAGTGGCTTATTGTTTTTATAAAATGGTGGCCAATATAAAATATGATAAAATACACAATTTTAATTGTGTAATTTTAATTTAGGTTATTATTAACAATCAACATAAACAAGTATTCCGCCAAGAAATATAGTTCCTTTGTAATATGGTATCATTGCCAAGCAACCATGGACCGCTGAATGAGGAGAACGTTTGGTCGCCCATCGCTGTACGCTGTGGTCATTTCATGACAATGACCATATGATAACACAGCACTGTTTAATGTAAAACCTTTTGCTTTATACATACTTTTTGGTCACCAAATTACCACAGTCTTATTTATCACCATTCACCATACTTGATAAATGATGCACTATTTGGCTGTAGAGGCTAGAATGTCTAAACTTTCATAGCTAGCACACTATTTAGGGAATATGGAGCCATTTGGCATTCAGCCTGGGTTTGACGCAACTTCTGACTGAAACACGAACATTTGAAGCGCGTAATCCATTCAAGTGACATTTTTAGACTTTTACACTACCCTTTAACAGTTAATCATAACGTAGGTACTTTAATTCAAGTCTGTGATATTAATGACAGAGTTGTTTAGGCTGTAGGCTATCTTTAGCCTGATAGCTAGCTGACCAGCCTAGTTCTAGTTCTAGTCCAGCCCCTCATTTTAAATGAAAAACAGGTTCTTACATCATCAATATACTTGGTGGTCCAAGTGAGCAGCATTAGAGTCAAAGATTATTCCATTAACAGCACAAGGGTTTTTTTTTTATTCTGTGGCGTAGTAATATACAATTCAGTTGTTGTGAAGCGGTCATAGGTGTGCGTATATCGTGGATTTTACAACGGCTTTGAACGCGGCTCAGCCACACTTTTATAATAGTTCTTAAGCTCTATTAAACCACATATATCCAAAAAGAGGTAAAGAAGCAGGACGAAAAATCACAAGAGGGAATGAGGTGGTGAAGATGCAATGAGTCCAGTGCAGTGAGTGAGTGTCTAGCTTCTTTCTATTAGACAGCTGGAGCTCAGCAGTGCGGTGGCGCTAATGCAGCACGGCCTCTCCACAGCGCCCCGTTGTTAATAATAGATTCCACCTGCGTGCCAAGCTCCCAGCACTACCCCTGCTCTCCAGCCAGCCATGGAAATGCAGTGCAAAGTGTCCGCTCAATCAGCCTCCATCACCCCGGCCCATATCTAGAGAAGAGCTCAACCTGCACTTCTTATATGCCACTGAACCAAGTGGGCCAAAATGAACTTGGCAGTGGCCATATGCTCTGAATCTGTCTGCTGTCTTTTCAAATCTGCAGAGAACACTAGTCTCTGTCTCCACTCGGGTTTCCTTTATTTGCGTTTTAGACAGCAAAACGCACCATGCCATGTAAGCATCGCGTACCCTCTTGACCCTCTCTGCCCAGAGGAGAACAAGCTGTTGGTTTTGCGTGCGCAAACCCCGCCTTACAGTCGGGGCGCATTAGTATAATGTGTCATTTATCATCTGCGATACCTGGAGAGAGGGCAGCTGTGCTAACTGATGTCTCTTTCTCTACATCACTCGCTCTTTTCTCCACTCCCTCACCTTCTCCGTCTCTCTCTCTCTCTCTCTGGCTGACGGACAGTGGTTGTAATTGGGCGTGCGCTCTGCTGGGTAGACAGCTGTAGCGCTGTGAGGCTACTGTCATGTCAGCAATCAGAGACACAAATCACAACATGCAGGAGAAAACCGCAGCACCAACATCACAGCAGACACTGAGCAGGACATTTTAATCATTCTCCCAGGATTTCATGACACGGACATGAATGTGTGGCTGACTATTTATGCATATGAACTCACACTGCTGATCAGTCTACTTTTCCAAAGGTTTTTTTCTCAAGCTCGCATTCAATCAAAAGGATCCGTGAGCTGCAGCTCAGGGTCCCGACCACATGAGCATGTCTGCAAATGGAATCATAGTAAATGCAACTGAAAAAATGCTTTAGTTGATGAACATTTGTACGTTTAGATTATCCATGATTTTGCAGGAAACCTATTTTATGACTTTGCTCTTTTCAAGCATACAGCACTGTGCAAAAGTCAGAGACCACCAATTCATTTATTTTGTTTCCCATCAAAAGAGCCATTATAGCATTATGTAACCATTTTGATGGTACACAGATTTTTTAAAGGGAAAAAGACCTGCTGTAATATATATACATATATATACACATATATAGCACTGTGTAACTTTGGAGGAGCAGGCACAAGACCTCTTGTATGAACTGCGATTTGTATTTACAACAGTGGTGTAAAACTGAAATACACTCTGCAACTGTAGGGGGACCCCAAGACTAAAAAATACCAATTCCCATGTAATGCTGCTATAGCTATAAGTTATTTGTCGGCTTTCAGCTTTTCAAAGAAATCTGTTTTTCTGTCTTAGAAGTTGAATTTTCAGCTTTTCATGATCCAAGTAATCCCAAACACATTTAATAATATTGTGGTCTGGACTTTTTAGCAGTGTGCTTGGGGTTGTTATCTTGTTGTAGAATTATTTTTTTTCCAATCAAATATTTTCCAGATGGCACTGCATGATTTATTAGAATTTGTTTGTAATTATCAGCATGAGGCCTTCAGTCAAAAAGAAATCACCAAATCCAGATGTTCTTGTACATCCCACGCTTGTACTGCTGCTTCAACAGGCTTTGCTGATGGTTCAAAACGTCTTTCATTGCTTCAGCTGTGTACATACTGCCTTCTGTTACTTCCAAAGATCACAAATTTAGACTCATAAGTCCATAAAACCTTACGCTACATCTCAGATGTCTGGTTTCAGTGTTCTAGTGCAAATACAAAAAATCTTTTTTTCTGTTTTCTTTTCTTAGTAACAGCTTCTTGACATCTACCCTTTAGACCAGGGGTATCAAATCTTGTTTTTGGACAGAAACAACTGTATATTTTTTTACATCTGGCGCAGTGGCAGTTTGGTGGCCTTGCACAGTTGTTAGAAGTCCCGAATTTTTTGAAAATAATTTGTTTTGAAAAGTCCTGTTTTTCACTTTTTTTTTAATGTTAGAATGTGTTTGAAGGGGAACATAATATCAGTGAGAGTTTTGGGAACAGCTGTTGTTGGGAGGACACAGCTTTGACTCATTGGTTGGTAGAATGGAAGCATTGAGGTGGCAGTAGATCCTCTCAATGAAGCACAATGCAGAGCTGCTTTGTCCATCTGTGGTAGCGGTATCAACGTCCACCGGGTACATGTGCGCAGAAATGAAGAGTGGACAAATTAAATATTGATAGGTTGGAGCATTTTATGTAGTTCTATCTTAAAAATTGTTTCCTGCTTTGTTTCTGACACGGAAACATTAATAACTTGTACTTAATGGCCATTTTGACAGGAAATTGAATAAACAAAGGGGTGGTCTCTGACTTTTGCTCAGGGTTGTATATTTATTCTGGACAGTGCCAAACAGAAAAAAAACAATGTTTAACACTGCAGTATCATAAGTGGAAACTTAAGCTGGAAAAGTAAACAAAAAGATTAGTTATCCTGATGCATGTCAATGTTAAATGCATTGATAGGGATGTGGTAGAATTAAATCAATTTGGCCCTACATGGTTTTGGAGCTTCCACACAAACTTGAGATCACCATGAGTAATGACAAGTGTTGCCAATAGTAGTGGAATGATCGCTTGCACTGGGCTGTGGAGCAGTGGAACTGTTCTGGAGTGATGGAGCTCCATCCAGTGCCTATGGAATAAACTGGAGTGCTGTGTGTGACCCAGAACTAATCATCCAAAAGATGACCTGACCTCACTAATGCTCTTGTGACTGAATACAACCAGTTACCAGCAGCATTAGATGTAACGCCAAACCAGAAGATTCTGCTACTGTAGTAAATTAGGGACAAACTCCCCATTAATACCTCTGATTTCAGAAGAAATGTTGGACAAACAAGTGTTTGGATACTTTTGAACATAAAGTGTAGTTGTAGTTATAGTCACTGTCTTTCCTCTGATGTCTCCAAGCTCATGTCTCCTATGACGAAACTGGATGAAGAATTAGGGAAGAGGACTATAATAGAGGACTCTGTTCCATAATTAAGCTGTAATGTGCTGGAGTGCCGTGTTCTTCTTTAGATAAGTAGCGGAACTCTGCGGGGAGGGAAAATCCTGTCAGTTCAGCCTGAGTGAGGAGTTCTCACTGAGCTGTTCCCACTGTTTCAGCACTGTGCAATCACACACTGATTTAGTGCCCAGACAAGAGGAAGTGTGGGAACGGGTGACTGGCACCTCTCTCTCTCTCTCTTTCTGTCTCTTTCCTGGAAGTGTGACAGAAGCACTAAGCATGAGCTTCACAGCCAGGGTTTGGCAGCAGATCTCCATGTCACGGTCTCAAATTCATATTCAGACATTTTACATTTTCTGAAATAGGGCTAATTTATAAAGCTGATAGTATTATAAATAGATTATAGGCCAAATATGTTCATAATATTATATATTGGATGGGAGGGCTAAAAACAATTAGGCAATCTAGAAATCCTTCCTTTACATCTAGCTTGGGTTAGATGTAAATCAGTCCCATCTTAGCCACTTTGTATTTTTCTTGTAACCTTTTGGTGGTGCTGTTTTTAGGTCCTCATAAATACGAATAGTCTGCTTCTAGTCGTTTGTTAAATGCTTTACTAGACCATTTATGCCAGCCACCCCTGCATGTCTCCTATGTATGTTTGTGCAATTTGTCAATCTGTTCTGAATTGAATGTATACTTCTCCCTCTCTCTCTCTCTCTCTCTCTCTCTCTCTCTCTCTCTCTCTCTCTCTCTTAGATGGCTACACCACAGATGACATTGAGTTTTACTGGCAGGAGGGGAGTTCAGTAACAGGAGTGGACAACATTGAGCTGCCACAGTTTTCCATCATCGACTATAAAACTTTATCTAAGAAGGTGGTATTTGCCACAGGTACACTTTCTGTTTATGCTGCGTACTTTAACCCTTTAAAATCACAGACTTATTTCACAGTTATTAATCTTATGACTTGTTATTCTGTAACTACTATGAAGCTGATATGTAAGTTGTGTACCTTTAAGAGTAGGAAATCAAAGTGCAGGCCCACATACAGGACTTGCATACTTGCAAATTTATGTTACTTGAAGTCAACCAGAAGTTCAAAATTGACCTTCTTTACATTCCTTCTATGAAAATATAAATTTTTGCCCCCCTTTAAAATATCTTTTGATTTTTGATTACAACATTGTGCACCTTTGTGCATGTACCACCACATTCAATCATCATCGTGAGAAACCACTCAGCTTGCTCAGGGAGCCTTCTTGACACCACGTTTCACTTTGAAATACGTCACAGTACAGAAGGAAAACGTGTTTAATGTCTGATTCACATTGACGTTAATAATTTCTCTTGAACTGCAAGAGGGAGCCAAAAATTTAAAGAACAAAGAAGGTGAAAAGTGATGAAATAGTGAAAGTTTTTTTTTCTTGCACATTTCCTGCTGGAACACCTGTAGAACAAACTGTTTTTTTTCATAGACACAGCAATGATAGTCAAAGGAAATGCAGCGATGTTACACAAATCTATCCAAAATGAACTTCACTTAATAAAGATGCAAACACTCTTGAATTAAAGCTGACATTCTGCACTTTGACCTCAGTCATTTTTTTGTTTAATATTCAGTGTGCTGGAGCCAATTATACAAAAATGTGTCACCATCCATTTACTTATGGACTGTGTGTATGTATATGCAAGGTGCAAAATACAGGGGGTTCTGGGGGGGTCCAGGACTACCTAATTAACCTCTTCGACCCCCTGAATGTCTCAAAATTCCAGAATTTAACCTGTTTCACCCACAATCAGTGAGCTTCTGTCTTTGGTATTCTTGGCTAACTACACATGTAGCACTGGTCTGCCTTGTTGTATATACACTGTGTATATGTTATTGTATACCTGGATTGGTAGTGGTCAGTCATGACTACAGAAGGATTTAAACATCATTATAGCACTTGGTCAGTAAACATGTGGATGTAAATTGGTGTCTTTTGAATAGTGCTGTGCAGAGGTGGGGGCCATGGGTTCACTGGCCACAGGGGAAATCTGATTGGCTTCTTAGGTGCCAGCATCAATTTCATCATCTGAACTAAATCAGTCTTGACTACAGAAGTAAGATTGTTGCAGCACTTGGTCAGAAGTTGTTTGGATGTAAATCTGTCTGCGCTGTACAAAATGATGTCAGCGCTGTTTGTTGTGAGTGTCCCCCACAGACACGGTCCTCTTCCTCTCTCTCTCTCAGGCTCGTACCCTCGTCTGTCTCTGAGTTTTAAGCTGAAGAGGAACATCGGATATTTCATCCTCCAAACCTACATGCCATCAAACCTGATCACCATCCTGTCCTGGGTCTCCTTCTGGATCAACTATGATGCCTCTGCAGCACGGGTAGCTCTAGGTGTGTGTGTATGTGTGTGTGTGTGTGTGTGTGTGTGTGTGTGTGTGTGTGTGTAGAAACAGAACAAGATTTAACACTTACTGTGAATCTCCCATCACTTAAACCACATTGATGGTGTTAACACTTAGAAGTTGAGATATATTACTATTATATTTGAATGGAATTATGCAATTACGTGCTGGACATAACTGCAACTTCTAAGGGTTAGGTTATAAGATTCACCCCAAAACAACTAGGATTTTTACATGATACAGTAATTACATGACAATTCAACCCATGCTAGCTCTGAGGTTTCACTGTATCTCTGCAGGAATCACCACTGTGCTGACCATGACTACCATCAACACTCATCTGCGGGAGACACTTCCTAAGATCCCCTATGTAAAGGCCATAGATATCTACCTAATGGGCTGCTTCGTCTTTGTCTTCTTGGCCCTGCTTGAATACGCCTTTGTCAACTACATTTTTTTTGGCCGAGGCCCACACCTACAGAAGAAGGTGGCGGAGAAAGCTGCTAAGAGCAACAATGAGAAGAGCAGGCTGGAAAGTAACAAAGTCCAGGTGGTAAGATCTACAGATCCATCTTTAAGCACTTTCTTCAAATTTCAGAATATTCTGAATGCACAGACAGTGCAGTAATTTTAGTTGAGCGTGAGAGGCGAATGGAGAAAAAGAAATTTTTCTTGCATCATGTTGGAACTCATGGACACAGCAGCAGTAATCAAAGAAAATCCAATGGTCATACAGAGGTAAATGACTGAGCTACCATGCAGCCTAATCTGTGTTTTACTAAATACAGATGTAAACACCCTCAAATTAAAGCAAATTAAATTCTGCACTTTAACCTCATAGTTACTGCTTCATTTTATATGTGATATGGTGGAATACAGACCCAATACTGCCCACTTATGGATGTGCAATGGTATTCCTGGTTTGGAAGCAATCAGTCATGATTTCAAAAGAACAATGTTGTCTTAGCACTTAGTCAGCAAAAGTTTGGGCATAAATTGGCATCTCTTAAAAAGAAGACGGGGCCTGGGGCGGGGGACACAGGTGCGCTGAAAATCTGACTGGCCTCTTAAATGCTATGGGAACCAGGTGTGGTTTTGCTCCGGTTCACACACAACTTCTCCATCAACACATCAGCAGTTATCAATTATAGCAATTAGAACGTGTTTAGAGATTAGAAATTATAGCAATTACAATGTGTTTAGAAATTAGAAATTATGTCAATAAAAACATGTTTAGAAATTAGAAATAAATTTAGTTAGAATGTGTTATTTGGCCTCTGAACAGGAATTGTGGCCTCTTTAAAGCCTACCTAAAACCAAAATACAAGAACTGCCAGTTGTTTTCCTCTCTCAACCTTTCTCTCCTAAACCCCATCTCTCTTTCTCTCTTTCCTTCCTAAAGGTCGACGCCCATGGGAACATTCCGCTCACCAATCTCGATCTGCGCCTCACCGGTGCTGAGATGCTGGGCAGTCTTGGAGACCCTCGGAATACCATGTTTTCTTACGACAGCGCGAGCATCCAGTACCGCAAGCCCCTGACAGGTCGTGACCTGTATGGCCGGCCCACTGCTTCCCTCGAGCGGCCGATCACGCACAAGAAAAGCCGCTTGAGGAGGCGAGCCTCTCAGCTTAAGGTGAAAATTCCAGACCTGACGGACGTGAATGCTATTGACAAGTGGTCCCGTGTCATCTTCCCCATCACCTACACCTTCTTCAACCTGGTGTACTGGCTTTACTATGTCCACTAGGGGGCAGCGGTGCACTTGGCTCAGCTTCCACTCATCAGGTCTGGCCAGGCTTTCTCAACAATCATTTGCTTGTGACTTTTTTTGTCACAAACGTGGTCTTTTCCTCTGTAAATATGTTGGAATATAGTGATAAATAAATACATATACACAAATTAGGGAAATATGATTTTAAAGCAGCAATTTACGTAAAATTTTAAATTTTATCCTGCCTTCTATAAGCTATTGAGTCATTTAGATAGTATAGTTAAAATTAGTTTTAAATAGGACACTGGAATCAGCACTTTACGATGGCCCTTGCTCCATGTGACAGTGGATCGCAGGGGCGTAGCAGGTGTGTAAAGGATTTTTTTGTGTAGAGAAGAAACTCACCTCTTCACACACCGTGCATGAACGCACCACAGCTCAAAGACCCCAAAGTGAGAACCAGGCTCAACCCAGCAGCATTTAAAAGTGTTTTCAGACCTTTCAGCTTAAGTCATCTCACAAAGTTAGTTCTTAGTGTGTGTAACAGCCTTTTAAACTTCGCTCTGCTTTGAAACAGAGTGCGTTTTGCAACAAGTACGTTCACAGTGGAATCACGGTCGCAGAGGTATCACTGTGAACAAGGAAAGCAAGACTGGGACAATTCTAGACTTAAAGGACATTACAGCTTTTGAGTCTTGTCAGTGTGCCTGTGTGTGTGTGTGCTAACATTTTTTGTGCACGATGTTCAGTACTTACTAATTCGGTCTTTCACAGTCACGCTTAGCTCTTGTACCCAGTTTGTTACAACAGACAAATCAGCTGACATACAGCATACAGGGATCTATCAGTATACTAATGAAAATATGTTAAAATATTTCTCAAAATTTCGTTTTTTTTTGTCATCAAGAAGTCAGGTATTAAAAGATGATGTCACCATTAGGCCTGGGCGAAAGAATCTGATATCAGTAATGACTGACAATTTTAAGCAGCTTGGTAAATAAGGTTGAGTAATATGTATACATAATGTTTTGTTCCCTTTTACTGTAAAAACCAAACATTACTACAGGGGATTAGTGGGCTGCTGGAGCCCCTAAAGTGCCATTGTGCAAAAAAAAAATTGCAAGAATATTGCGTTCTCATGCAAGATTTTGTGTTCCTTCGCAATGTTTTTTGCATTCGCTTGCATAATTTTTGCATTCTTTCGCAAACGATTTGCATTCTCTTGTAATAGTTTTGCTTTCTTTTGCAAAATCCATTGCATTTGCAAGGAAGTGCAAGGAAATTATTGTGAGGGAACACAATGTCATTTTTTTAGCACAGCCCTTTAGGGGCTCCATAATAACCCATTCAGCTATTGTACAGTTAATTTTTCTGTCACTCTGCTTTGGTTTTCCCAGATTAAAGGGGAATTCCAGCGATTTTTCTTAATTTCTGCCTAATTCAGTTGTAGAGATGCACACAAAGTCATTCAGAGTCGTTTGATTTGAAATGCACCATTCTGTTGAAACCTGACAAATCTGAATTCTTCACAGTGGTGGTGACTGGAAACAAGGTTTGTAATATAGCAATTTTATTTGCTATCCACACTGACTGCTGAATCTACACGTCTTCTGAGATTTTAGATGTAAATCTGAAAAAATATATTTTTTCTCTTAAAAATCTCTGCAGGTAACTCTTTACCATGAGTGTATTATAAAAACAAAAGCATTTGGTGTAAAAACTTTATGTGATGGACCTTTCAGAGGCACTAAACTCTTCCTAACCATTTAAATCTTAACAGGAATTTTGAAGATCGTTGGAATTCCTCTTTAAGTATCCTGGTGTTTTTTATGAGTTGTAAACTAAGAAAATATAATACTTTATGGTTTTCTACTGTCACCTATATGCTTTCCGCTACAACAACAAAAAAGTGTTTTAAAATATGTAAATCATGTCAACATGGCTTTAGTACTCATTCATTTAGATCACGTGTTGCAGACTGATGGTTCTCCAGCAGGAGGCGATATTAGTACACAAATCAGCATGAGCCCACACCAGCAGGAGCTGATAAGTGCAGTAACAACTTTGGTGAAATAGTTTTCAGGAAAAAAAAGGTTTGTTATTTAGCATTAAATTATTAAATATGTGCTTTTCATTAAAGTTTTTCATAAAATTAGTTAATTAAAAAAAATATATAAGCATAAAAAACATAAGCTGAATATAGAATAAAACTTAGGCCTAAGCTGCAGGTAAGGGTGAGGCGATATTATTAATTTTTTAACAACAAAAGTGCTAATTATTTGTAGATATCGCCCAGGCCTTCTCACCACAGTTTTGATGAACAATTCTAGGAGTCATTGGTCATTCTTTGTTGCAACAGGGCATAAGTTTATATTGGCAGAAGCCTTGTGTCAAATCTGATGGCTTAGTCAACAAAATGATACATTTTTACTGTCACTCCTCTTCATAACATCATGCTTTGACAGCGTAAGAAAACCACAAATCCCTGTCCCACACTGGGTACATACCACTGAAATAAACCACCATGACCTCATAGAGGACGCGTCCTCTGCTAGAAATGTATGTTATTGTAGAAGACTTGTGACTTGAGTGTCTATCTATCTTTACATTTAGCTTTAAACACATGCACTGTGACTTATGTGGTACCCAGGCTCACCACAGGAAACAAAAAAAGCAGATAGATCTAATCAACTTGCTGTTACTTCTTCTGGCTCAATTTGTGCCTTCGAATCAAAATTGCGACATTTTACAGGGTTTAACCTACAGCATCAGCATCAGTTAATGAACTTTTCTAAAGGAAAACTCAAGGTTACCATGATAACTTAATGATAATATTACTGTCTTGGGCTTTTTACGATGCTCTGTGTTAACATTATAGATTGCATAGAAGTGTCAAAGAGTAGCTACTAGAGCAACATTCCAGCATTTCAGTGACAATCTATGAAGAGCAGCTTTAGGACTGGCTGTCAGAAGGTCTAACTGGCTCTTTTGCTGGCATCTGGCATTTTCAGAACGAAGACACGATCCAAAATACATACACGTAGGCCTGTCACGATTATGAAATCTTAGCTGATGATTAATCACCATATAATCATCGCAATTAACAATTTGTCTTTTTTTGTTATTGTTTGAATGCAACTATTAGAGTGCAAGATTGAGGTGGCCAAATTAGCTGATTAGCTGTTTTGCTTCAATACTTGGAAGTTCACAAATCAGGACAGAAAAATGGAAGAAAAAAATCATCTTTCTTAGGTCTGCAAAAGGCTGCATACTGGGATTCTAAGGTAAAGGGCTCATCTAGTGAATCAATTAAAAATGCAAAATGTTATTAAGAAAAACCAAAAGAAAAGTTTGGCAAAAAATGAAATGTACATTTTCCTCAAATCTAGTTGAGGTCAAATAATGAAACATTATTTTAAATGCCGTCAACAGCTGCACTGGTAAACATCTTGTAGCACCATTCAGAAGTAGTTGTCAGGTTGTTTGGGGTGTTTCGTGGTCTAATGGTAGAAGTGGTAAGCCAGCAAACAGTCCCAAATGGTGCCCTCTGGTTCCCCTCAAAGGCCACACTTTGGTGGTGTCAACAATGTGCAGATCTATCTCAAGGGTACTTGGTTTAAATGCCAGCTTGGTCCTAGACTTCACAGAGTTAAAAAAGCATTTTCTCTTTGCTTTTATTTACGTGTATTTGCCTCCACCCAACTGACGAAAACACAACCATTTTGTACCCAACCTATTATGTAATAATGGTGACAGGCCTACATACTCAGTCATATACATACTCACAGTTATAGCAGAATATGCATGTCTATACACTCACATTCACCTATTTGAAGCTTATAAACACTCAAATTACACAGAAGATGGAAGACTTGATAGAAAAACATAACCTGCTTTGAAGATAACTGGCCTGGTGTTTTCTACCACAGCAGATGCCAAAAAAAGATGAAACATCCTGAGGGTCTTTAAAACATCATTCAGATGAAGCTGTTTATGTAATATAGCTGTAAATTGAAATACATTATAGCTGAAATACATTCATGCTCTTTATCTCTGTGCTCCCATACTGATGCCAGTGTGAATGAGTGAGACAGTGGAAAGTATGAGTGAAACCGAGAGATGTGTGTGCGTGTATGTGTGTGTACGCCTATGACAGTAAGCACAGTTGTTCTTAAGAATCCTTTGTCTTAAACCATGAGAAATTTTGAAGGATTCTAATAAACTGTTTCACCAAACCAGTGCCACTTGTGATCTGTGAGTTTGTGTAGTTGTGCCTGTAGGTCTGTTGGGAGGAATATTTTAGTTAGTTTTGTTTTGTTTTGTTTTCTTTTTTCTGTTCTGTTCTTGTGTATTTGTTTCTTAACTTCTTTTCTAAGTACAGTTGTATGCAAAAGTTTGAGTGCACCTGGTCAAATCTTGTTAATGTGAAAATAAGTCAACACATCCTCTACAGAGAAAATGAAACATATTAGGGGAAAAATAAAACATAGTATGCAAGCAACCAAACAGAATTTGCAGAAAAATGTTATTTAAATTTGTTCTGTGTAGAGAATGTCAACTTATTTTCACCCAACCACAAAACAAGCAATATGACTGTTCAAACTTTGGCATATGAATGTATATGGAACCACTTTTATTGTTCTTGGTAACCAACTTCATGCTACATTTGTGGCAGATAGAGAAAAATGCAGAAGTATTCCTTTAAAGGCTAATTCCCATTTATTATTTGTTGGAGTGCTTCATAGAACCACTCATAACTAGACACTTATACAGCTGTGACATACCTGCTGGAGAAAGTTATCTTTTTCATCATACCCTCTTTGAGAATAACATCTCACTTTGCCCTGGCCTGGAATGAAGAGTTAGAAGATTCTTTACTTAGATTAGTCTCCTCTGACGGAACAGAACATCTATATCACACAGCCGTGGGCTGAAGCAAAAGGGCTGAGGGGTTTAACGCCAGCCTAAAGAAAAATGCAGCTTATTTAAGAATCGATTCTTGGCCCATCACCCCCATCACACATTCGGATGGCTTGCGTTCTCCTGAGGGCTAGACTAATGGACCGATCTGACACTTAATAGAGAGTAAAGGCTCAGCCAGAGCTGGGAGCAAAGATGATAAAGAAAACTCTAATCAAAATATTATCTCTCGCTCAGAATTGAGAAGCAGTGTATCTGCCAAGAGCATCTATCAGTGCAGTGCGTCGCTTGCATGCATTAAACTTGAATTTACTCACATTCATGCTTCAGAAGCCATAATGAGCCTAAGCTACAATACATCTTATGCTCATTGCCTATATCATTTTAGAAGATAGAGAATTCCCAGTTGTAGTTATAGGCTGGGAACCACTTAAAGGGCCTGAATCCTCCATTTTTTTGTATTTATATTTTTCCTTGATGTCCACTTATGACATTTTTGTGGTTTTATGTATCAAATACAGTAATATTTAAATTTGACATAACCGTTTTTCAACCTTTCTTTATCTCTTAAAATTAAACAAGCTGTTTTTTTTTGTTTTGTTTTTTTTACCCCCGTGACCCAGAAGGATAAGCGGCTTAGAATATGCTTTTGCTTTTCAGAGCTAGATAGAAACAGTCTGAGGATGGAAACAGGCTAGGATATACGCCAGCAAGATACATAATACAGAGAGAGGCTTTGAGTGCAAAACCAGCAGTGAGAAGTGAAGAAAGCATGTTAGCACTGGATTCTGTCCCTATAAATAATGTATTTAGGGAATTCCACTGTACTCTAAGTCATGCTCAGATGAGCAGGAGATACTGGAGTTCTTCCACATCTTTTTGGCCTTCTCTTTTTAAAAAAGTAGCACGCAAACCTGTTGGATGTCTCCATTACTTTTAGGACCTCACAGACACCACAGAGGACATGGAGATCCTCTCAACTGCAAGTATATTAGACTCATAATAATGGATGTGAATGTAACTTTCTTGCTAAACCTCTCGGTTAGACTGGATATTATTACCCATTTTATATTTAACTTTAGATGCTTAATCAAAACAGTTGCATGTTCTCCCAGTCACACTGTTCTCAGTATAAAGACTGTTGATGCTTGTTTCGAATTGTTGGGATATAAGCTTAACACCAAGGAAGGAATTTTGTATTCAAAAAAGGTGTTAATGTTGAGCAAATTTTCATATGCAATATCCCTAGAGTGCCCAATCCTGGTCCTGGAAATCTATCACCCTGGAGAGTTCTATCCATTGTGTCTGGCTTTAATATTCAGATGCTCCTGAGAGCCTTCATTACCCAAAGCAGGTGTGTTAGATTAGGGTTGGAGCTGAAGTCTGCATGGTGATCGAGCTCTAGGAAAAGTATTGGGCACCCATTCACTCACCCATTCACAGCTCAGTTATTTGTACTAAATCACCTGTAACCTCCCTGTATCCTGCACCCGTGATGCCCAATGGACACATACATTTCCAATGTTTCCTTAGCAACTACATGGCTCAGTCAGTTTGGCAAGCCATCTGCACTAGAACAACTGTTTTTCAGATAATTATATTAAATGGGAAAAGTGGGAGGACTGACTGAATAACATAAAACATTAGTACAACACTACTGTATTTTACTCTGCACTATATTTCTTCTCCTTAGGCCTGGGAGTGTGAAATATTCTGCTGTCACTGTCTACATGGCCTGTCTGAAAAATACATTCTTTGACAAATCACACAGAGTCCAGTTGTATCTTACTTTAGACAAATGGCAAAACAAAGTGTAATGCAATATTAGTGACGAAAAATTGGTGTACACTCAAACATTGCCAGTTCAAAACATCTCAGCTAGCATCAGCTCCCAAATTTCCTTGCCAAGGTCAAATTGATATTGCTTTATATCTTTCTTTTTGCTGGATGTCCTTCTCTATGTTTTGGTTATTGGACTGAGGAATCGACTCTTACATGTCATCGATCCTCATCACTTGGAATCGGAATTGGACTCATTTCTAGAATTGAACAGCCCTCGTTACTGTGGTTAACTCTATTTTGAAATCTTGCTTGCCTTCGTCTCCAGAAGCAACATGTGGCACGGAACTGAAAATCCCAATAAAGGGGTAAACATAAAAACATACACAGGGAAGTGATGAAACAGTCTTGTTGAAGTGCTACAGAAAAGAGTCTGGCTCTTGTTTTCAGAACAGTACTTGGTAAATAATCCTTTTTCAGTTTAATAAGGAAAGAGTAGCAATTAACCACATTGTATTAAAAGAAGAGTTGCAGAATTATTGAGGAATATATACAATTGATTGCTATTACATGAGAAAAATCTGTTCTAGAAAAATGAAGAACAAAAATACTTTGATTTAGTCAGAACCCTCCCACTGCTTTTAAATATTCTGAGCTGTTCTCAGAAAGCAAAAACTTACCAAGGTCCTGTGACTCATGGCTATTTACTGTACTGCCAACAGACATCAGTCTTGGGCCAACCCATGCACCAGTTTCAACACGTACATAAATACACATTATCACAGTCATTTTTTTCTAGGTCCAGAAATAAAAGCCAGGTGCTGACTGCTAGTTTCTCATCCTGTTTGCACAGTAGAGGCGTCCCAAAAAAGATCACACTTCCTCGACCCTGAGGCATGCACTTCAGCTCCATCGCAGCAGGGTGAGATCTGCAGCTGGTCATGTGTTGTGTTCATTTCAACTGTAGGACCACCTACAGAATTAGTAGAGAAACAAATGCGTGTATGAACATGTTTGCAGCTCTAAAAATGCTGAGTGAGGTGCATGTAAGTAAAAGTGAAAGAAACCGATGATACCTTATTAGCAGCCTCTAATGCACTGATGAGTGTGTGCAGCTCTTCTTTGTTCATTTCTATATTTACAGCCCTCTGGATTCCATTCTCTTTCAGGTCCAGACTGAGGTTCAATAGAGGAGTGTTTAAAGATGACAGCTTATCACTGGACAATGCAAGCTAGAAAGAAAGGCAGAGGGATTGAACATAGAACAGAAAAACATTGGTCCATAATTATCAAGCATCTAAGAACACTGGGCCTCAGTCACCAATATCTTCCTAAGTTTTTTCTCAAATTTATTCTTGAGAAAGGTTCTAAGAAAAAGTCTACTTCAGATTCATGACGTGTTCTTAAGCTGCAGAACTGTTCACACCTTTATGCTCTTGAGTGTGTGTAGATTCTGTACTTACCTTAGAACAAATAGCAAATAAGAAAGCATTGGTGAATGTCAGAATCTTCATGAAAACTGCGCAAGTGGATTTTAAGAAGAAATTTTTTTGGGGTAAAATATTGCATCAGACACCTGATTGGTTATATTTAAACGGACAAATCAATCATAAAGATATCAAGTAGGTATTATTATTGCTTTGACCGTCATACACATAGATGTTAAGTGTCTCTGTGTTCATGCAAACCATTTTTTTGGCTCAAATGGTGGCAAACGTAAAAGTAACAGAGCACCTGAATCCCTCATAGACTTCTGACCAATAAACAAAAACCCATGTGTAATCAGGGTTTGGCAAAATACAGAAAAACTAAAGATGTCTGAATACCGAATACACTGTCATAAATGTATTCAGTAATGTATTCCACTACAATACATAAAAAGAAAGACATTCAGAACACATTCAGAATACATTTGGAATGCATATATATATATATATATATTAGAATACATGGAAAAAAAACTGTATTGCTTTATTTTTATTTAACTCACACTGTTCCTCATTGTTACTGGTTAGCAGTTTTCTTCATGTAATTCTTCTGTTAATATGTTTCACGAAAAATTTTATTATTTAAATGTTTACAAAAATGATCACAAAATCCTCAACATCATTTTGGCTCTCATGGCCTCTTTCAGTCTACTGCTGCTCCCATAATCCCACTGCCCTTTCATGGCCTAAGCAAACAATTTGCTATTTCCCAATAACAAAATCTTGCTTATTTGACTATAAAGTGGGTAGCTGTGTGAGTTTCAATTAATATTGTAATTGTATGTAACAATTGTATGTAACTTGCCACAAAATACATGTACAAATCCAGTACAACACCAACGCTAAGCTTATCACTTGTGAACATGTCCACTACCGAGGACAATATTCAGTTCAGTAGCAGTTAAGTAACACTAAGATTGATAACTGACTCATTACAGTGATTTATCCGTCTACTCAGGCTTTAGAAGGAAGTTTAGTGTTCGTGAAGAAGCCATTTACTGAGATCTTCTTTAGAGTACGCCTTGCTCACTTTAAAATTGTTAATAAACAAGCATTGGTTGTCTTTCTTTTAAAGACAATATATATTTTTTTTAACTTAAGAGATAAGTATTCTAAAAGAATCCTCTTAAAATTGTCAAAAGTAACTATTTTGAATACTACCTTTACAAACTGTAAATCGGACTGATACTTAATTTCTGTACTCTAAATATATATTCCCAGTACTTGTATTCCGTTACATCCCAACCCTGAGTGTAATTTAGTGCAGTTTAGCTGTTGCAGTGTGAAACCAACTACACCAAACAAAAAAGACACAATGTCACCAAAACTAAACCTCTTTAGGACCTTAGCAAATTAGTTGTGTGTGAAAACAGCATTAATATGAGCCACTGTCCGCAAAACAGCAAGATCCCACTAAAAAGCTAAGAAGGGCATAGATAACTTGAACCCGGTAAACAACAGAGTAATCTGGCACTGTTTTTTAAAATGCATGTAGTGTGTACCTTTATCTGCCAGTTAAAGTCCTGCAGTTGTGTGCTGGAGATTTCATTGGTTCTGTCCACCAAAGCTTGTCTGATCTCCTCCCGTCTGGCATGCACACACTGCAGAGTAGCATCTCTATGTGCAGAGTCTAAATCACCCAGCAGGTCCTGCACCTACAGACAACAATGTTGACCATAAGAGCACATGTCTTAAGAGAATATGTCTTAATTAAACATAACATACAAACATCACATTCTGAATGATGTGGCTCACATCCTAATGACAGAGAGGAAAGATGTTTCTTCTCACTAATGTATACAATGATGCATCCAAGTGTACAGGACAACATATAAAACACAAAACGGTTTGCTCCGAAAAGAATATTGAGACATTAACCTCCTGATCCTTAGACATTCTCCCAACAGCGACTCGGAAAAGTTGGGCGAGTGAGTTCATTAACTCCCCCCACTCTGTCAGACTCCATACTTCACTGTACTCCACTCGTCTTGGGTAACTCCGGCCACACAGTCCATCCACAAACCTGTGCAGGAGCTGGGAAATAGGAATCACAATATTGTGACTGACCACAAACTCAAGAGAATGATGTGAATGATGAACAATAAAACATAATTTACAGTTAAATAATGGCTTTAGTTGAAAAAGTCCATTTTCTCTTTTAAAACAAACTGTGCAAATGGTTTTAATGTAAGGTAACACTGAATGGAAATACAAGACCCTTATGAAAAGGACCTACAGTAATACTAAAGGAAATTCTTCAGGATTCCCAAAAGAACAATACATTCAGACAAGGGTACTACATACGCACTATTAAAAGAGACACAGCTCTCGCACAAGTCATGGTGCTTTATTAACCAGCTGTTGTTGGACACAGCCTCACTGTACACAAGCAGAGTTTTCTTTTTACTCACTACTCTGCTCATGTCTTACTCTCTCAGCTCCCAGCTCAAGCATATCCCCCTGCCCTTCACAATAAGAGTCCTTAGCTCACCATTCCAGTCCTTAGCAGAATAACAAATAACCTAAAATTAACATATAAACATTTTTAGAACATGCTACAGAAGTATAGCCCAATCCTTGTCCTGGACATTTAATTAAAGAGTTTAGATTTAACACCTGGCTCTAATATTCAGACCCCTCTGAAGGACTTAATTACCTGATTCAAGTTGTGTCTGATTAGGGTTATTGCTAAACTCTGCAGGGTGGCAGATCTCCAGGACCTGGATTGGGTATTATTAGAAGTAAGGACAGAACACTTACAGTTTCTTACTGTAACATTACAGATCTTTTTGAAAGGGCATGAATAGCACCAGAAGCACAGGTGTATTCAGTTTTGTTGCTGGAGGGCTAACGTCCAGGAAAGTTTGCTGACTTCCTTCCTCAAACCTGGCTCAACTCATCTGTCAATTGTCAGGTCTAGTAGGCGTGTTTGAGCAGGGAAATCACCAAACTATCCACACTGTGCCGTCCACTTTGGACGCTGGTCCTCCAGGACCGTAACTGAATAACCACATTCTACATCACATCCCACATCAGCTCCACCCAGTCATTACAGCCACAGCTCCACTGACTGAAAGGGTAAAGCAATGTTAATGTGAACTCTGAATCACGTCTGAGTTAACTGGTTAATTCGCGTTTAACTATACTGTTGTCGCTAAATACTGTTTCTAGTATATTTATGGACTTATCCAACAACAGCGCTGTGTTACTCACTTTAGGACACTCTGCCGGAGATAGTTTTTCGAGTAATTTTATCATGATGTTCTCAGCTCCGCTTTCCTCAGTCGTGTCAGCTGACGCGCTGGTCATGTGACCACAGCCCGCTGAGGCACGTTCAAGCGCGAGCCCCGTTTACCTTAACGTTAATTTCTGGTTCAGGAAGTGCAGGAATAGACATGTATGCTTTTATTTATGGAGTTTAAATTAAGCGTTTAAAAAATTAAAACGGTTTGAAGCCTAGGTTTAACAAACCCAGGTCAGTTTTTGCTATTTAAAATCATTAAATCGAAACCCGGAAGGTCACGATTTCAGTCTAAAAGTCTTCTGTTTGTCAGAAAATAAAAGTCCTGTCCTAAGGAAAAAGTCCCCTTGTGACCTGTTTAGAAGTACACCGGCATCGCATTGTCTGTAAACCAGTGGTTCTCAGTCCCTGACCCGTATCCAACACGATTTTCTCTCCTCAAACACACCTAACAGGCTCAAGAAGCACTTAGTGGTTGTCTGGTAGGTTGTCAGTGTTAGAGCAGGGAAGATCTACATTGTATAGATCATGAAGGTCTGGCAGGTGAGTATCACCGCTGTAGGATACGGGATAATAATTTTTATGGCACATTAATAACTCCTTTCCAGGGATACTGTTGCCGTTTTAAACGGACGGCCCTCTATGATTGGTGCACAGACCAAAAATCTGTTAGTAAACATTACTAACAGACTTTTGGTCTGTGCACCAATCATAGAGGGCCTTCTGTTTAATTTTTAAATTAGTTCTGAGTAACTTGTCTTTTTCAATAAGATTGGAGACAAATGGTCATATAAGCTCAAGGGATATTATTTACAAACATTTATATTGTGATAGGAAAGGAAGTTTTAAAGTTTTTTTTTTTCAATCAATAAATCATCTAAAACTGTACAGCATGGGACTAAATAGGCAGGTATATTTTGAGATAGTTAAAGTTTAGCCAGATATTTCTTAGCTGTACCTGATCATATCACCAGATAAGAAGCCATAAGATAAGACTAACAAATGAATGACAAGCACAATCAGGCAGGATGTTAAAAATGCCAAACATCTGTTTTTATGACTGATAGGCCTCTCCTTATTTTCACAACATTTTTAATCCGCTTTGACCATGACAACGGACTCTTCAGTGAACTCACCCTTTTGAATCACATTCAGCAACCACACGGCTCTGAGCATGTCTTGAGGAAATATAATATTCTTTCTTTTGAATATATTTAACAGTAGTTTGTTATTGGTGACCCAGTAACTGTAACTTATGAAGAGTCATTGTGAGCTCAGTAGATGTAAATACTGATGGGCAATGAGTGGCATCATTAGCATATGCTGTTGCTATAGGCATATCATTTGTTTAAAAAAGTTGACGAAAAAAGGAATGAAGGAAGGAAAGTGTGCTAATTAAATGAAAAAACTTAGAAACCATTTGGTAAATGGAGATTTCAGCCTATAACAAAGCAAACTTTTTGACATTAAAAGCTGCTCTGAAGTCCATTCACTCAAATCCCATTCTTGCATTTCCTGTTTCTCTTCCCCAGGTATTGTTCCTCTGTGTCAAGGTAGTGGCTGTCAAGTGCCCTCTTATTTAAGCATGCTGAAAGTCTGTTGTCAGACTGTTATTGCAAAACTAGCAGTCAAACACACTGTTGTCACAAAGAAACACTATATAAATAAAACTTTTATTTCATTTTTTCAATCTTGCAATAAATAAATCAGTAGAGGCAGATTAGGGTATGACTCAATAGTGTGATACCATGTGTAATATAATATGCTTATGTTAAGTATGTCACAACATAATGAGAAGTAGCCTATGAAAAAAGAGTGAGCCTGTACATCATTAAAACATACAACACATATTTTACCTATATATTTCAGTAACGTTAGGTAGTAATTTGAATACAAAAAGGTCTGTGTTTCCTGTGTTTCTCTGAGTAAATGCCCAGCCAATTCATTCAAAATTTCAAATGATAAAGCACCATCACTAAAGAGTATATTCCATTTGTAGGCCTGCTTTATACATTGACTACAGATGTTTGAAATGCTTACAGTTGTATGCCAAAATTTGAACACCCTTGTTCAGATTACATATTTTGTTTTTTTTTTTTGTTTAAGTGAAAATAAGTAAAAATAACACATTGCAAACTGTAGTGCACATTTTATTTATATTCTGAATTTAACAAGCTGGGAAAAGTAAAACATACAGTGAAACAATTAATTTTTTTCTATATGTTAAATTCAACAAATAAACAGTATTGCATGTTAAAATGAGCAGAAGTGTGTTGCCTGTAGAGGATGTGTTAACTTATTTTCCCTTAGACAAACAATAAAACATGTCATTTGACCAGGGTTGCCCAAATTTTGCCTACAACTGTATATAATATATAAGAACTAAATATTTGAATCAAATTTGTATATATATTATATGCACTGACACTTACTTTCTCTTTCACTTGATTTTATTTTGCTTTGAGGTAAATGAAACTGTGTGTGACCATAAGAGGTAATTATTAATGTACAATTACTCACTAGACTAACTTAAATGGGAACTTAAATTCCACATAATTAAATGGTTGAGATGTAAACAAAGTCCTTCAGAGTGGTTTGGTCTGAAAGGCTCTGTTCTAGAGAAACTTGCCGAGTCAGAATTGTTCACAGTGGTGGTGATAGGAACCAGACATCTGCAGAGTTTAATGCTTCTGAAAGCTCCCTCACAGAAAGTTATTACATTAAATGGTTAGCTATATGCTGTCTGATTGTTTTATGATAAGGTTTGTGGTTAAAATGTATTGTAATTGTAATTTATTTTAATCCACTCATGGCGGAGGTGTACATGCAGGGTGTCGTAAGGCAAAACAGTCCCCAAAGAAAACCTTCTAGATTTACCACTATTTTACCTTCATCAACATTACATATAAAAACTCAGGAGACACATGGAGTTTGACCGGTGGTTTTGCGTAGTAAATAAAATGGCTATATGTGTGTTGTAGACATGGTGACCCCTGGTTCCTATCACCACCACAATGAAGAAAACAGAGTCTGTAAGCTACGTTTCTCTACAATGAACCATTTCACATCAAACCACTCTGAATGACCCTGTTTACATCTCAATGACTAAATTATTCAGAAATTTTGAAAAATTCCCCTTTAACTGTGAACAGTGAAAACAAAACAACTATGTTGTAGGCAAACTGGGGGCCAATGTATTTTTCAGGACTGTCGGTGTTACGGAACCACCCTCAAACCGAGAAGGTCCCACTAGGGTGATGCTGCTGCTTTCAGTACTGATGCGCAAAAGCTCAAAGTGAGAAGTTCCGCGCAAGTCTCCGCTGAGGTCGCCTCTGAACTGAATTTTAAGTAACGCTGAGAAAAACGAATAAATGACGGTGGGAGTCACACACACGCCACCCAGCTCAGCACGGCGTGTCAACAGAACATCACCTGGATCATGAGGCAGATCTGATGAAGTAAGCCGGTAAAGTTTGCTGGTGTTTGAGCCGCTCCTTTGTGATTTTGCTGTGCTGTTAACTGTTAGCTGGAGCTAACGTTAGGTTAGCCGGTGGGCTAGTTAATAAGGTTAATGTGTACTAGGGAAAGTCACTGAGGCAGGTGAAGTGAGGAGCCAATAAAACTCTCATTTCACACGTTTTTGCGAAACATTATGAGTTTTCGAGCATCAGGAAGTCTGAATTAAGGAAGAGGATAAACGATATGCTACGCTTACGATACGTTATCTCACTTTTACTTTACATTAGCCGTTTGTTATTATTGATGCTGGCTGTACTGGTTTGGATTACCATCCGTTTACTTGGCGCTCTGCTCCTTAGTGTTAATCAGTAGGCTAATAGTCGACCAACAGGTTAGGAAGACGGTTAAGCTGAAATGGCTCGTCTGTTTCATGGCAGTTTGTCTTATGATTACCGCGTGGTTTCTGTTCGTGCTGTGTTCCTCCTTTAATCATGTATTAAAGTACATTAAGTAGAAGTCTGACAGTGGCCCCATAACTGTAATGTTACTGCTTACAGCTCTTCCAGAGCCTTAGTTTACCACAGAAAAAAACGATGGTAGAGCACGTCCGCGCTAATCTAATCTCTAAACGCTTTATCCTCGGAGGCAGGCTTTTCATAGCGGTTTGTGGGCTTGGCTGAGTGAGGAGCAGTAGACTAAAATGACAGTGGTTCACAAAGATTTTATTCCTCTAATTTTCCTAACAGCGCCCAAAAAGCATATATATATATATATACACACAATAATATATATAATGTAATGTGGAACTGGATGTTTGAAAAGCATACTGGCCTGATTTCTTAAGCAAAGTGTGCCAGTTTAGATCGATGTCTTATACCAGGCATTCCAACCCAAGAGAGCTTCTAAGACACTTAGTTGAACTAATATGCTAATAATCGTTAATAATCTTTCATTATTATAAACCCAGTATTGAACCTCAAAATCAACTCTGTAATAATTACTGAACGGCCTGAAAATACTGTATCAAAGATCCCCTTTTCTTCTGCTGCCAATCTGACCAGACTGACAGCGGCTTTAACCCAGTTGTGGACAAAATTCTCTCTAAATTGTAATTTTCCATTGAGAATTTGTTTTCTGGTTAACCCTGATAGTGTTGGTCATCTACACCGACCAGCCACTTCACTATGCACACCTCTTTGTTTCTATACTCATTGTCCATTCTGTCAGCTCCACTGACCATATAGGTGCACTTTGTAGTTCTACAGTTACAGACTGTAGTCCATCTGTTTTTCTGCATACTTTGCTACCACCTTTTACCCTGTTCTTCAATGGTCAGGACCCCCACAGGACCACCACAGAGCAGGTATTATTCGGGTGGTGAATTGTTCTCAGCACTGCACTGATGCTGACGTGGTAACGGTGTGTTAGTGTGTGTTGAGCTGGTATGAGTGGATCAGACACAGCAGTGCTGCTGGAGTTCACCTTGCAGATGTTAAGTCAGAGAGAAAAGCTCATCTGTTGCTGCACAGTGTATATTAGTCATCCTCTAGTCTTTCATCAGTGGTCACAAGACGCTGCCCACAGGATGCTGTTCGCTGGTTATAGTTTG